AACGCTGCCAACACTTTCCTTGCAATAACTTATGAACTGTTTTTTAATATGTTGATACTAATGACAAAAAGGAGGTCAAGTTTAATATTGACAATTTTCACTTTTACTGTTCAGTAGTTTATGGTCTTTGATATATTGGAAAATGGCACTTAATGTAATTTCTGTGAAATTACTAATGAACCGCTTGACAATTGCTTTTAAAATTTTAATATGTTCTTACTGATGAAAAATGGAGGTAAAGTTCGACATTGATGATTTTCACTTTTATCATTCAGGATTAATGGTCCTTGATCTATAAGAAAATGGCACTTAATGCTGTTTCCTGCAATTTCTTATGAACCATTCAGCCACTGCTTTTAAAATTTTAATATGCTGACAAAATGGTGATCAAGTTTGTATTGACGATTTTCACTTTTGCCATTCAGGAGTTATGATTATTGAAAGATTGGAAAATGAGCATAGAATGTGGCTGGTCAAAAAAGTCTGAAAGTGCCTTTCAATTATACAGGAAAGCCAATTTGCTGTCAATTTGTCAGGCTCATTCCTTGTTCCAAGTTATTTTTCGGCAAAGTTTACAAAAGAGTGCACAAGCTGAAATGTCTGGCCTGCATTACTAACCACTGAATTTATGCTGATAGTCCTAAATATAAACGTTTTACTACAAGTATCACATAACTTAGCATGATCCAAGAAAATGAGGTCAAGGTCAGATAAACCAAATGGGAAATGCATGTACACCTTACAATCATTCCATACATCAAATATAGTTGACCTACTACTTACAGTATCTAAGAAACAAACAACCTGGAAAACTTAACATTGACCAATGAACAATGAAAATGAGGTCAAGGTCAGATGATACCTGCCAGACAGACATATACAACTTACAATCATTCCATACACCAAATATAGTTGACCTCATGCTTATTATTTAGGAAAAACAGGCCAAAACACAAAAACTTAACATTGAGCAATGAACTGTGAAATCATGTACATCAGGCTCGACAAAAACAGGCTACCAAATTTTTGTAATCAACTCTTAATTTTTTCAACTGAGAACACTCAAACATCACACAAACATTACATACATCTTGAAGTTGTACACCTAATTTCATGGAATAAATTGACAAACACTCCCTTATTTTTCTATTCACAATTGAAAATGACATACATTGTAAACATTCTAAATTGATTAGTCACAAATATTGCAACCCATCCATTTGAGACTTTGCCCCATGTTTACTTGTAATTATGGTTTGATTTCTTATTTCAACACTATTAGGAAATAATTTTCTGTACAACTTAATGAAAGAATTAAACAAAACAATATTTATCATAATTTATTCTATGATCACTAATACGTATTAGTAATGGAATGTTAACATGATGCAATATATCAAAAATAGATCTTTTCATGATAATATGAAGGCATGCTCAGAAACTGCATTGCATGGTCAAGTGATCCATTTCCTCAGAAAAATTAAAACATTCCTACCTTTTATTATTTTCAAGAAATGTCAGTTTATAGCATTCTTAAAAGCATGCCTGTAATTATCATAAAAAGGTCTCACTACTTTCCAACAACTACTTTCATCACACTACAAAATAAGTTCAATATTTTTACAGACTACTTTTCAGTATTTCCAGAGTACAAGAAGCTTGAGTGCTAATCTTACAAACTTTTACTTCTACAAAGCATATTCAACCAAATAACAAACCCTGAACCTTAAAGAAAATAAAGAGAATACATGTTCTTTATAAATATATATATAGTTTTCTTCTGTCTGAAAGCATTTAATGAGTGCACTTGAAGGTTTTATAGTGTTTCTTATATGATGGTAATAGAGAAGAAACAACTCACGAGCTTTTGCAGTGATTGATGGATCCAAATGAAAATGAAAATTGACGGCTATTAAAGAGACACTGTTTTAAATTATGGCTTTAAAACTGGGTTCTATCTGTTAAGTCAGAAATTTTTGCAACATTGAAATAAATGCAATAAAATGCTCCGCTGGGGCGCAGCTTGATACGACCGCAGAGGTCGAACCCTGAACAGTTGGGGCAAGTATGGACACAACATTCAAGCTTGATACAGCACTGAATTTGGATTGTAATTAAATATTTGACACAGCATAGGTTTCTGACACAGAATGAAAGTGGTCTAAGAACTTAAAAATTTTCAATTTACCTATTCATACATGTGATGGACTGTGAAACTCAGATCAGGAGATTGGGAAATTTTGGTCAGGAGATTAGGACTCAGATCAGGAGGTTTTTAATCGACATTAATTTTGTTGTAAATGTAACCGTGTGCTGTAAAAATGGTCTTTTAAAGTGTGTTTTCTTCAACTTTCCAACCAATTTATTATGTTTATAGTACCCTTGTACTTATAAAGTTTCTCCATCTTTATATTCTACATGTTCAATCTAACATTGTTTTTTTCCAGTATGTTCTTTAAATTTTTTACTTCATATTCTATAAAACAATCATTGCAACCAGAACATTTGTTTAGCTGTCTGCAAATAGTTTTTATTTTTTTTTTTTTTTTCTCTTGCAAATAGTTTTTATTTGCAAACTCAGAAATTCATTCTATCTGTAATGTTAGGGTCATAGTTATTATATAAATTTCAATTTAAGCCTTAAAAGGAAGTATAGAATCCTCAAATAATTTTCAAATTATTATTTTTTTATTTGTCCTAAGACATTTAAAATCATTTAATAACCATCCTTTTATGATTATTTGTTCAATTTATATTTTATTTATATTCTTTTAAAAATTTTCATTATTAAAAGGAAAGTAACTTAAAACAGGATAAATCAAGGGAAGTAACCCAATAAATACACAGTTTTTGTTACACAACGGCAGTTAGCCTGAGGTAAAAATCGTTGCTTACCAGTATGTTTGACACCCAAGCTGACAAGTGAAGCCATATAATTATGCATGTTAATTGATTTACAGGTAAAATATAACTTCAGGTAATGTCAGTTACACCAGATGCCTGAGATGTTATGTTGGGCAGAAATTTTTCATTCATGAAAAATTTCATACACGGGATTTTTTCAACGGGAGGGGGGGAGGAGACCCCTGAAAACGGGATTATTGTACTCCCGTCGGGAGGTTCACATGTATGCCTATTCAAACCATATCATTATTATTTGCTTTTATATATAAATCAGAAATAACCAATTTAAAATGGAAAATGTTAAAGAAAAAAAGGAAACCCCCCCCCCTCCCCCCAATTTTTTGAACCCCCTTATGATTCATCGCCCCCAAACTCAATCCCAGCTTTCCCTTTGTGGTATGGTACCTTGCAGTACAATTTCAGAGAGATTCATACACTTGAACACAAGTTATTGTCTGGAAACTAGAAAAATGCTTGTTTTTTGGCCCCTTTTTGGCCCCAAATTCCTAAACGTTTAGGGCAATTACCCCCAAACTCAATTCCAGCTTTCCCTTTGTGATATGGAACCTTGCAGTACAATTTCATAAAGATCCATACACTTACACACAAGTTATTGTCCTGAAACTAGAAAAATGCATGTTTTTTTTGCCCTTTTATGGCCCCTAATTACTAAAATTTTGAGGGAAAACCCCCAAAATCAATCCCAGCCTTCCCTTTGTGATATGGAACCTTGTAGTACAATTTCATAAAGATCCATACACTTACAAACAAGTTATTGTCATGAAACTAGAAAAATGCTTGTTTTTTGCCCCTTTTTGGCCCCTAATTCCTAAAATTTGGAGACAATTACCCCCAAAATCAATCCCAGCATTCCCTTTGTGATATGGAACCTTGTGGTACAATGTCAGAGAGATCCATACACTTACACACAAGTTATGTCTGGAAGTTACAAAAATGCTTATTTTTGGCCCCTTTTGGCCCCTAATTCCTTAACTGTTAGTACCATAACCCCCAAAATCAATCCCCACCTTCCTTTTGTGGTATTGAACCTTATGGTAAAATTTCAAGGAGATCCATTCACTTAAACTAAAGTTAGAGTGCGAAAACTAATGTGTATTCGGACGACGACGCCGGACGACGACGACGTCATACCAATATACGACCACAAAAAATTTTTTGCGGTCGTATAAAAATGTCTTGATTGAATGAATTTAAGATTAATCATTACTTGCATCCTTAATTCTGATCGTAATTTTTGAAGCAATTCCTGCTATAACATTGATTAATCTTACATGTTTTGCCCCCTATTCAATAATCATATTTATAAATGCAATCAATAATATCTTAAGTTTAAAGAATGGGGTATTATTTCCACTGGAACACATATTACAGTATTTGTTCCTAACAGAATACAGGTTATAGAATATTTGTTCCAACAGAAACAGATATTATGGCATTGTTTATAACAAAGTTTCCAGGGGAACTTCTGTTAGGCGGAACAAATATACGTTGACAAAATAAGTGGATTGTTCTGGAAAATAATTTATGCTTTAGCAAATACATTTCATACAGAATGGAACCAAACTTTAGCTTGCAATAATATCATATTGCACCAGTGCAAATAAAGCTTTAAATAAGTGAAGTAATCAATGATAAAAATATGTTTTTATTCAGTTTTCCCATACAATAAAATGGTTATTGCATGAATATTAGTGAATATTATCTTTCACAGAATATATATTGCACTTGCAAGCTTGTGCACTATAAAAATCTACTAGGACAACATAAAGCAATATGTCTTAATCCATCTGTATAAAAAGGTTATAATGTTTAATAGATATAAGAAGATGTGGTATGAGTGTCAATGAGACAACTCTTAAGCACTCTTTGCAAAGGAAGATATATTTCACATTCTACAGTAAATAAATAGACTTAAAAATTTTGATTTCTTCAAGTTCTAATATATAGCAGTAAATTTCATTTCTACACCTGTTTTCTATACCATTCTACAATAAAAAACATTATTCTTTAAATACAAAACTGAACTACATTATCACAGGACGGAAAATATTACAATGTTACTTAAAATCTTCTACTCTCAGCGTATTGTCTCCGTGCATTTAACCTGCCAATCACGATCCTCGTCTTCTGGCATCAGGTGATAGGCAATCTAAAAATAGAAAAGTATTCATTATTAAAAGCTATTCAGTGTCACACACCTTTCATAGTACTCTTTCATATGCCACTTAATTAACCTTGTTAACAAAACTACGATAAATTAGGTGAACAGTGAGATTGACGAGTGACGGATGTGAAAACTCACAAGAAGCTTGATTTCAAATTTCAGAAAGCCTTGATTGTAGTTTCTGAGAAAAATGTGACAAAAATTTCATAAATGGTCATTATGTAAAGAAATTTCTAAGTATTTGGTAAACAGGAAGTTGATGAGTGATGAATCTGAAAATGCATCACATAGTATAGCATGCTCACATGAAGCTCTGATTTGTTGTGCAGGGAAAAATGCTACCAAAATTGTTTTGGACAGAAAGACGGACAGACTTATTATAAAACCAGTATACCCCCTCCTTTGCTTTAGAGCAGGGTATAATTAACCAGGGCTTCCAAAACGGTCATATATTCCGGACTTGACCGAAACTTTCATAAAAAGACCGGCTGCTCTCAGCCTCAAACGGTCAAATAGAATTGGTGTGCCACATTTTGTTATTCAAGGCATTTTCATGAAACGGTCATTTCAATTTTTACCAACTATCGATCGATAAAAATGACCGTTTGGGGCTTTGGGCATGTCCGTTTGGGCATTTTAGTTTATAATTGTGGCAATCTATTTCACAAAGATATTTCGGTCATAATTGGGTTTAATAAAACAGAAGCAGCATATTTCAGATACTTTGAAGTGTCTCAGTTAGTCTAATCCTCTGGGTACATAAATGTACGGCTTGGTCTTTAGCTTGTGTACATCAATAAAAAGTAGAAAAAACACGTTTTCTTTTATTTAAATAACAACAAGCTGTCAAACAATTATCCCTTCAATAAGTTATATTGAAGCCATAAATCATTCACTGATTACAGGTTTGTTACCTTTGATGAGGTGTTCTTAGCTTATCTTTATCAATAGAATTAATGATGCATAACAATGTACATAAAGGTAATCCGGTAAACGAGGTCAAACATGTAAGCGTGTATGGAACAACATCCTATTTAATTACGCTTTATAGATTTTATTTTAAATGAGCATTCAGTTTTAAAAGTATCCTGATATTTAAAAGTTATTCTTCAAATAAGGATATTTATAAATGAATAAGTATGATATATATTATTTTATTTAACACTGTACATCGTGTTAAATACTGGGGTACTCTCAAGGGGAAAATTTACTAAAATATATAGGAAAAACCAATGGACAAATTTCAGTCAATAAATGATTTAACTAAGTTAAATGGTGCCGTGATCACTTCTAAATTATATCAAGAGAACAATGCCTGCTCCGAATTTATTCAGACAATTTCCGATGTTATAGAGAAAGAGGTGGTGTCCGACGTAAAGTTAAGTCCCGCCGTGGGAATTATGATCGACTAAGGTGTAGTCTAGGTATTGACGCTTTAGATCAACTTATGAGGATAAGCTTAGTAGGTGTAGATGTTAAAGACTTTGACCCTGTTCCTGCTATCCGCAAATGGCAATCCATTCGTAACCGCCATGTTTATCAGAACAATGCATTTAGCAAGCTCATGAATGTAAAATCTTTAATTAGACTAAATGAACTCTAATCTTGTGCTGTGATCTGTGCTTCTTTTCAATGTGCTCATTGTAATATTTATTGCGTGTGTTTGTCAGCATTGTGCTCTTCTGACATTTTATTGTTGTTATATGCTTACATAAAATATCATGTTGTTATTCATTAAATTATTTATCAACTGAGTATGTTTTTATTTATTCCTTATTTTCTAAATCAGGTTGGGAAATTGTACAAAGAAAAATGTTATCACTGTTCAGTAGATTTTACACGGTTTAAAACAATATCCTTCATCGGGCCTCCTCAATGTTATCTATAAATACCGCATCAGTTGTAAAAGTCACGTGGTCAGGTAATCAATACACAAAAAGAAAAGTATCACGTGTATTGATGATCAAGTTGTACTGCAATTAAAGCCAACATCAACAGTTTCAAATAAGATGGCCTTAATTTACAAAGTGTTAAGTACTCACAGAGAGAAGATAGATTATATAAACAGAAACAAAAACATGAGAACAGTCAGGTACTGAAGCTGATTGATGCAATGATGGTTACTGTATTACGATACACAGAAAAATGACACAATACCGAGGATAATATTTTATTTATTTTTAGAATGAAGAAAACAAAACAGTTATAAATAATTTTATTGCATATAACACTACTAATTATTTAGACACATATATCAATTTATGCATCCTCTCAGTTACATTTAAGTATCCAGCTGATCATTGACCGTCAAAAATATTTCTTTGAAAAATGTCCGGCTGTCGTCAGGAAATTTTGGAAGCCCTGTAATTAACCCCTAAGCTGATAGTTGATAAATTTTGAAATAAGACTTTGCCAGGTACTCCCGTACTTCTTAATTTGTAAATTGTATCTTCAATTAATGATCAATCGTGATGGACAGCAATAAAATATGCTGCTGCTATGCCATTACTGTCCGAGACTTTTTAATCATGAATTCATCAGATAGCCTTAAAAAAATACAACATTATAATTTCAATGACTTTGATTAAATGCTAAATCATCTTGCTGTTCAGCCATGATTGTTCATACAGGTTCTAATTGTTGCCATTTTTCTATTATTTGTCAAGATAATATGGAATTTAGTCTGTATATGTATCTTATTCAATATATTAGATGTATAATTGCATGGTTACCATATTTGATGTCAAAAAGTTTTAGAATTCGGTAAATCCTTGTTCGTTATCTTTTGCTCTCTAGTACACCACTTTTATGACGAAATGGATTTATATAGCTATGTTCATTGCCAAATAGTTTACCGACCTCTTTTTACTGTTAAAGGTGTTATTTCTTGCTATGAGTTATCTTTGTTTATCCATCATACCTTATATATTGAGATTTGAAGGACCTTGGTACTACCTATGCCTTTTCATTTTTTGAAATAAGTTTGAAACTACTAAGACATAAAATCTTTTTATGAAGCTTGGGAAAGCCTTATTAATTTTACAGAATGAGTTAAATTAAATTCAAAAATAAATTCAAAAAAAAACTTACAAGTGTTGAACCTGGATCTACTCTAAGTGTCCGCTGTAAACTGTCATGATTGCTGATTACATTTTCACTACGACTACAATCTAGTTCAACACGTACTCTGGTGTGAGACTGAAATTTATAAATTCATTATAAATAGAAAAAAAAGTTTTTAATTACAATTATAAACAATGTATGAAGACATTTTTTAAATGAACGTGTCAATCAAAATTGTAAAAGTTGAATACCTACATGTACAAGTAATGGATGTAATTTTTAGTATTACTATAGTATGTTTATCTTAGCAAAAGCATGGATGTGTAAAGATAGGCTGTAAGACCCAACTACTTTATTGAATTATCCATTTGCATCTTCAGTTGAATGTACATGAAGATTTCAACATGTTTACTTGAAATTATAAAATATACAGAGTATGTTTATGTTTGCTTAAGTGTATTTAAACTCCAAATTCTACTTCTTTACCTTGTTATCGAGTACCAGGGATGCCCAGCCATCATTTTTGTATGTGTACATACACAGGTCCTTCATACCTTTAACCCTTGAAATCTCACCCTGAAACAGACAAATATAATAAACTTCTACGACAGTAATATTTACATATCCTGCTCTATCGTTAAAGAGAATGCAATACATGGAACTAAAAACTGGCATTGTTGTAAAATTTACCATTTTAAAAGTCTTGGTAAGAGGTTTTTAAAATTAAGTTTTATGGTCCGTTACATTACTTTTTAACATTTATTAAGGTTCCATCAATTGGTCGTTTCAGAATCTAAAGGAATGTGGCTAATTTCATTTATCGTACCTAAAAATGAATATTACGTCACATCATTCGTTGAACTCCCATTGTTTAGGACGTTGTTAGCCAATCACAATGTTTAGATGTAAGCTTGTGAAAATATTACCGGAAATTCAACGAAATTGAAGCTATAGGTAAAAAATAATACATACTCACAGTATCAAGATAACACAGATTGATGACATATTTTGAATATCAAACAAATGACAAATAAACTTTTGTCAACGTTTACTCTAGTACTATATACTAGCCAGTAATATTCTGTACATAGACTAGAGAATGGAAATGGGGAATGTGTCAAAGAGAAAACAACCTGACCAAAGAGTAGAAAACAACCTGACCAAAGAGTAGAAAACAACCTGACCAAAGAGTAGAAAACAACCTGACCAAAGAGTAGAAAACAACCTGACCAAAGAGTAGAAAACAACCTGACCAAAGAGTAGAAAACAACCTGACCAAAGAGCAGAAAACAGCCCAAATGAATATTAGACAAAGGAAGTAAACTTACATGCTTTATAAATGATTTGCTGATTATGTCATCAAATGAGAGATCTCCTGGATATGTTGGGTAGCTGTCTACTCGAACTACATCTAACTCAGCATCATCGCAATCCTCTGTGTATACATCAAGTTGGAAAGGACATGCCTGGAAAGAAAAATCATATTATTTTCTTGAAAAGACCAGAAAGTTTATTAAACAGGGGAAATGAGTTTCAACACTCGGAAACCCAAGAGGTCACATCAATGATAAGAAATCTATCTTTAAATTTCATGCACATAAAAGAGATACTTGTCATCTTTTTCAAAATTAAATATCAATAACTTTTTCTGCATGAACAAGATCTGTTATTATAATTGTGTCATCATTAGGAGCATTCAACCTGTATAATCTAAGGAACAAATTCAAACTGAGCATATGGACTAGATTTTGGCAATTTTGTATCTTCATTCCAACCTTGAGCAGGGTAAGGAGTTGAACTCTTAATTCATAGTACTCATATGAAATTCAGGTGCAATTAAACACCAAAAGATAAAGCCACATAGAAAAACAGGAACGAACACAATAGCTCTTATATAGCAAAATAATGTCAAACACTTAGAAAGTATTGTTAAATATTTTGTTAAATTTTTAATTCAATTGAATAAAAACAACAAAATCATATTTTAGAGAAAATGTTTTATCCAAATACCTGGTCCATGATAAGCTGTTTGTTATATCCCATACTGACAAGCGTGGTCCATAAATCTTCAGTATCACCCTCAGAATCTTCAGCTTCCAATTCATTGAGTTGTAGAAACCCAGCTTTTGTAATCTCTCCATCTTCTAAATCTATCCTGTCTATAATGTATATAAAGTGTCTGATGAAAATGTTGTTAGAAAAGCAGCCGAACTTTTTTTTATTAACAAATAGTAAAACACATTCTAATAGTTATAAGTGAAACCAAGACAATAAACTTCATTTATTTATAGAATTGATAACATTGTTGCGTGTTTAGGTGGGGTGTCCTTGATTCGAAAAAAATCATTTTTTGACATAAAATTGTTTTGCTTTTTTTACCATAACAAATTATTAACTCCCTCTTTTTTTTTCTACTAGAACTGTGGATCTGCCACTAATTTTCCCAAGATATGGGCCAGATTATATGGAAATAATTCTTCATATACTTTGACCTATAATTGTTAACTTTTTTCACATTGTGACTTGGATGGAGAGTTGTCTCATTGGCACTCATACCACATCTTCTTATTTATATTTGAAGTTTAATACATATAGATTCTACCACTGCATCGAGTGTGATACGATATTTATCCACTCGAGACAGTTTAATTTTCAAATTTAAAACGCGAGGCTCGCCGAGCGGTTTAAATATTTAAAATTTAACTGTCGAGAGTTGATAAATATCGTATTACACAAGATTTGGTGGTGGAATCTGTTTCTCTAATGATTTTTAAACAATATGCAGGCAAACTTATTCCGTCTTTTCGAATGATCTGTAAAAAGATGTGTTCTTTCTATGTGACGTCATCAGGCATGGTCGCATTTTTTCATGCCGTCACAATAGGAAATTCAGAGGAAAGCAAGTAGATTCGACGTCATAATCGGATTTTAACCAATGAAGAACTGAGATCAAACGAACCACACGTTGATGAAATTTTTTTATACAATGGGGCAGAAAGGGATAAATTGACGAAGAATTAGAGAAATATATTTATACTCCTAGTTCTTAGCTTTAATGATTTACATTCTTCTTATATCTGATAAAATCACAATTCAGAAGCAGTTAAAATAGCTATGTACATCTAATACGGATAGAAAAAAATATTATGAAGTGAATTTTGATAACAATTACCTTCCACAACCTGCCATTCTTCATCTGCTACTTCCTCACCACTAGTTCTGATGTTAAAAAGGTTAAATTCTTTTCTACTCATAAATCCATTTCCATCTAAATCACTGTAGTCAAATATATCTTCTAACACTTTCCTACAAATGCAAATATACAATGATAATTAGATATTTTGTCATAGAAAAGTACCGAATATTGTAAGAAAAATTTCTTTTATTCAGCTTTTTGCAACACTATACTGTTACAGTATAAGTGTTGAAACATGTTATGATTGTTTAGTTAAGGGTGTGAATTATTGTGAAATGTTTTTAAATTTTTTTTTTAAATTCGAATGACAAGATTTGTAGATTTATTTTTAATGTGACTTTCATATCTACACAGTGGCACTTTTAATGAATACATTTGTTTGATGAGTTCAAACGTAACTTTGGTACATTTGAATGATCTTGTATACATCTCTGTGAATATTTTAACAAACTATTTCATATGCCAATGGAAGCTACTAGTCTAAAAATTATCTATAAGACATAGTTCAATCAATTACATATATCACTCAGCTCCCAGACCTCTTTTTATAATTATGAGAAATAGATCTTATAGACTGTCAAATGCTACTAATAAGTTCTAGAGTCTAGACAGACAAAAATAATGACCATAAATAAAACAAGAGTAGATGAAGCAAAAGTTGACCAGTCATACCTGAAAGCTTTGGTTATAACATATTTGCCTCCCTTATCTTGAGATACCAGTTTAGCTTCCTTTTCTGATTCTGATTTTCGACTTTTAAATCTACACCCTGTTGTATATGGCATGATGTAATATTTACCAGCGCTCAAATCACAGCTTACACCATATTTCTTCAAATAGAACAAATAGTCCATAAATAAGGAATTTAATTCATGGGTTAAGTATTGTCAATTTGTTATCAGACATATATACAACATTAATTAATGCAATTCTTGTACAAGTTGCAAAATGACAGTTTTGATTGATTATTGGTGTTTAACACAACTTTGAGCACACTTGGCTTTATCCTTGCAGTCACTGGTGGAGGAAGCAAGATCAAGTTTCCTGAGAAAACTGTTGACCTTCAGCAGGAAATGCCTGTTTGATAATTGTAACCTTTATCCTGTCACATTCTTTGCATATTGTAAATTCTTTTATTTTCGTTGGTACCAATTTTTGTGGATTTAAGGATTTTTTTTGGAATTCATGGATACTTGATTTTGTGGTTATTAAAAATTCTCCTCACAAACCTATGTAAAAATTAGTATTTTGTTTGACATTTAAATTCTTGATTCCCCCCTATTCTCACAAAAATTTGTTCCCAAAGAATAATAATAAATCCACAGCTTATATAAAAAATATTCATCACTTCTGAATTTTCAGTTAAAAATGGGCTTGTAATTCTTATTTTGCATGTATCTTATGGAAAACTATTCTTCCATAGTGTGTCAATAAATGAATCTATTTATTTCTTATTCTTTTTTACTATCTTTGGCATTTAAAAAATGAAAGTTATAATGACAGAAATGATTTTGCTTTTATACCCCAGTTTTTGCAGTTATCATTTGTGTTTTGATATATAACAGTTTTAACAACAACCACCTCTATTCTCCCCTCTTTTCAAGCTCTACAATCTTCATTTTGAACTGACACACCAGAGGATATGGATAATATTTTACAAATAACAAATCACCAAAAAAAAAATCAAAAAACGTACCCCTCTGCCATCTCTGTGTTCTGTAAAAGCTACAAGTAAGTTACCGTCTTCATCAGGTCTGTCTCTCAATATAAAGACAGAAGTATCTACAGGATTACTATCCATTCCTGAAAAATATATGTCAATATAAAATGAGCTGTTAGTATTAACTAATTCTATAGCCTTGTAACAGTGACTTAGTAACCAAAAAAAAAATAACTTACTTAAATATTTTAAACACATTGTAAATTTGTGTTAATTTTTCAAGGACTTTTATTTTTCGTCCCTTGATTTTCACAATTGTAAGTAATTATTTTGTCTATAATTTCATCATATGCATTCAAGCATACACTCTTGCAACATAGCCAAGAACTATCATGTTTAGGCCTCACTCCTTCAATCAATTCTTTTTGAAGTTTACATGAAAACTTGTCTAGACTCAGAATAATTTATGAATTGCAATATTCTGCCAAATACCACTAAATTGACAACAACACTTAAGTAAACTGCAACTTCGTCATGTTCTTTATTGACTTGATATATGGTACAAAGACTTGTCACTTGTTGAGGACAAAATGTTGACTTCTAGATTTCTTTTTTGGTTTGCTGTCTCATCTCCTTTAACTTTTGTCTTTTATCTTTTTTGAATTGAACATCACTGATGAGGGTTTTGTGGATGAAAAAATGTGTCTGGCATACATAATTATAAGCTTGGTATCTTCGATGAGTTTATTTTTAATACACCACTGGACATGTAGATAAACATACATCCTTTTGTAATACATACCCTTTACAGTTTTTCATTCCAATTTGAGTTAACAGTCAAAATCGATCAATTCAACACAAATACCCTGAAAACTAAAATGGCTAAAATAAATCACAATATTTGCTTAATACAGTTACAATCAACTGGTTCTGAATTTACCTCTACTTGCTTTCTGTGGCTGCATAGTGATCCAAATTTTACTATCGTCTGGAAGGTTAAAATCATATTGGTGACATATCAGACTTCCATCTTCCATGAAAAAGCTGCCTTTACTTTTAGTGTGTGTCCATTCCTAAAAAATTTATATAGAAATGACTCAAGTAATAGTCAGTAATAATCTAAAATCTTTAACCAAATAAAATTTTTTTGCTGTAGCAGAAATGACCTTAAATTAGTTTGAATAATTGTTTTACATTTGCCATTTCTGGGCCTTTTATAGCTGACTTATATATACTGTAAATTCAGAAATTATTGCGATGTTTTTATTATTGCGAAAAATGCGACAGGGTTATAATCGCAATAATTTAAACTCGCATTTCGAAATTTTTTATATGAATTAAACAGGATTTTTCTCAATATCGCAAAGATAAAAATCGCATTTTAGTCTAAAATGACAAAATCGCAATAATAAATGCACGCAATAATTTCTGAATTTACAGTATACGGTATGGGTTTTGCTCATTGTTAAAGGCAGTACAGTGACCTATAGTTGTCAACTTTTATGTCATTTGGTCTCTGTGGAGAGTTGTCTCATTGGCAATTATACTACATCTTCTTATTTTTATATTAAAGTCAAATCAAAATAATTCCCTAACATCCCCTAATCACCGTTTGTTTCAGGTTGAGGTTGAATTATGTCTGAATGTTTAAAAATACAATAAAAATCCAACATTTACCTCAAATCTTTGACCATATACTACTGTAATAGTAGAAATCGTTTTAATGTCAATCAAAAGTTATTCTACTGCCATCCAGTGATTTTCGAATTTATTTCAGCTTGCTGCTTCATTGACTGCATGGTGTCTTGATTTTTTTCTAAGCAATTACAGTGAATGTTCTAATGGCTTTGTCCTTTCACAATAGTGAATACCAATTTACTATAACGCTTATCAAGTTGCAGTTTGAACTCATCTCTTCAAACTGATCAACTAATTATTTACCTCATTTACCCTATATCCCAACTTATTCATGTATGTGTGAGAAAACACAATTTTTTATCCTTAATACAATTCTGCAGATAACTTTCAAACTATAAATTACCCTAAGATTTTTAGGTTCATCTAGTTTATGAGACCTTGAGACAGAACTTTGTCGACTTTTGTCCTTCTTAACTCTGGGAGATGGTCTAGGTAAATCATCTGAAAATAAAATCACATGATAATAAACAAATTACTGGGATAAGTATCATAGAAAAATTTTTGCAATATACAATTTCCACAATTGTGTTTCTTTATCAACTTGTATTTACTTTCTGTATCACGATATTATGGAATATACACTGTAACCATAAAAGTTTTTGGAGGTACAATGTACCATGAAAATATTGAAATTAGTAAATAGCTGAAACTACTACTTTTGCAGCATCTTGTTCTGACATTCTAAAATCACAGTACGTGGCTACTTCACAAAGCAAATTGTAAATGAGGCTGACAAATGAATATAAAAATTCTGAATGAGCTTGCTGCAACTGTAATTTACAACTGTCACATACTATAACAGAGTATATACAAATTTGAAACCGTTAATTAGTTCTAGAATTATAGCTAGTGTTACAGATCAAAATCCCTCCATTGCAATTGCTAACCCACTCATGAATCACCAAGTAGAATTTTCTTTTCAGAATTCTTTATCAATTATTTTGACTACATATTTCATACAATGGATAAGGGTCTGTCAGATTTATGTCACTGCTGGTCCAATTGGTTCCCCATAAAATTTCACATTATTTTTTAATAATCTTTTTAAAAAGACATCTTATTTTACCTTTCAATATGCTACCATGCCATAGGGAAGCAAAGTGAATGACACACTGATGTTATTTTAGTAAGATGCAGGTCAAGCACAAATCTAACAGACCTGCATAGAAAGATAGTATGTCTGACTGATACCTTGGCTATTGTTGCTTCAAAATATGTGAATTTGACTATTCAACAAAATATGTGAATTTGACTTTTCAACAAAATATGTGAATTTGAACATGAAAATTGCATTCCTTATTCTCAAAATGTGTGTATAGCCAAATTAATCAATTAAAATCCAAGAAGTAGATCAAGAGTAAAGCAGCATTTTCCAGTATTATAAATCAAAGTAGAAATTTTAAGGGGCTGTATGCAGTCACGGTGCTTATATTTAATGAATGCGACTCATTTGTTGTTAATGATAAAACAGAGTTGAGAGTTGACTGCATAGGAATTCTCAAGCATCAAGGCTAGCAAATTTCATAATGTTAATACTTATTACATTCGTTTATAGTATCACCAATCATTTAATCATGCCGATGTTTCTGACTATTATCTGTTAAGCCAGCATTAAATGTTTTGAATGATTCATAAAAGAGTATCTCGGAATAATGTAAATTGAGATTTTGCTCATGTAACTGTTTTCTTTCTTTATATGGTAATTACAAATTGTTCACATAGAAAATTATCAGATGAATGGGTTTGTAATTTACAATTTATTATACCTACCTGCATAAATAATAGTGTTTTTTTATAATAAATAATTTCAAACCACTTGAAAGACTAAGAATGCTGACAAAATATGCAATAAAATGTTTGGTGTATAGATTGGTTTCTATTGACACAATTTGAGCTAGAGTTACTTCCCTTTGTCACCTTGCTGGAGGCCTAATTGTGCAAATTCATTCATAAATCACCCAAATTCATCTTCTTATACTGACCGCTAGACTTGAGAAAAAGGGTTTTTCTGACCAATTTTTATTTCTTTTAGCCTTGTTTAATTCACCACTACGATCTGTTATCAGTGTATATCACATGTTTCAATTTGGTAAGTCAAATAAGAAAATCAACTGTTTATCCCTCCAAAATGGTGGCCAAGGGAAATAACTCAAACTCAAATTACTTCATTCCAAACCTATCTATACAGACAGCTCTCCACCTTAAAATAAAAAGTGCAAACTACATGATTAGTATTGTAAAACAAATATAGAAGAGTTGTTTACCTGGATCTGAAGAAGAAGCAGTGTGCAATAAAGATTTTCTTTGTGCAGGGATAGGGGGACTTCCTTCACCTGTTAATGAGGGTTATAAGGTAAAAAAAAGTAACATCTCATGAATTGTCTTCTTTTTTTACAATATTTTACAAGAAATTAAATTTTAATTCAAAAATATTTTACTCATGAAATTAATTTCTTCTTTCCCTCTCCCCTACAAACTATAAATTTATAAAAAATATTTATATAACTTGATTAACTTCGGTAATTTAAACTGTCTCTGAATTGGCCTTTCTTTTATTTTCAATATTTCTATTACTAGACTTCGTCTCTGTCAAAAATGATTATTCTAAATGATTAAAAAAACCATAAGATAATCAGGAAAAAAAATATATTAGGATAAGTACTTAACATTCTAAAATCATCTTTGATAAAAACATAAATTAAAAATTTGCAGCTATAGCATAATTACACTTATCAATTGATCAATAAAAAAATAAAACTTGAAGACAATGCATTCCATGCATGACAGAAAACAGTTCATTTCCAGTAGTGCACATGTACACAAGTGGCTTGCAAAATAGGGAAAAAAAACAAGCTCCTTTCTGTTTATATATTTTTAATACATCTTAAGAGGGTGGATTTTAAAGTTATGATAAAAAAAAAATTTGAAATATATGATTATCAAAAACTTAAGAATTCCATATTCTATTTAGATATATAAAAAAAAAATACTTCATCTATAAAATTAGAGAAGTACTGCCTCTAGAAGATCTGTAATAAGTTTATGGGTAAACACAAAAAAATCCTTGATGTTTGGTTAACTTACTGACCCCAAAAAAATATAAAAATAAATGGATTCAAGAAAAGCTGCATGAAAGAAATATATAGAGATTAAGAAAAACTAACAGTTCTCTTGAATTATGTTTTGAGAGATGAAGTTAGTGCAACCAGAACCTGTGATGAAAAACTAAAGCAAACACGTCTAAAACTTTCAAACAAAGTGCAACACAAAAAAGAACAACAATTATGTACCAATACTTAATAATGATGATTTTCTCGATCCTGACGGTGTTCCAACTGAAAACCAAAACATAAAGCATTATCATCTTATTCTTCATTCTATCTTAAATTATTATTAAAACAAATCAAAATAAATATCATAAACTGTTTTTTCTTTTACAAAAGTATTTAGTAAACAAAAACTAGTAATAAGAACAAAAATATAATAAAATTAAAATCAAAAGAATGTCATTAAATTGTGTTTTTCTTCAAATTAATCCTCTGGTGAACATTCTAAAACTGGTGAAAAGCATTCAAATATATAAAGAAATATTTAAAAAGTACAGTGAAACTTTTTATTTGATATGTATTACTATCACATCCAGGACAAAATGTATGTTTGTTAACAAATAAGGCTTTGTTTCAAAAGAAAAACTTTTTTGGTGATAATGAGCAATGCAAGTTGTTTGGAATTATAGGTAGCAGTACTGTCCTGTACTGGATATTGTAGTGAATTGATGGATCTACTATCCATTTGCATTGAGCTTAAAAATTCATTCTTTGAGTCCACTCATTCTTATTACAAGTGCCACTGTACTTAACCTACTGATTGCAAGACATGTTGCGTTTATGCTGCCAAATCTATCAAAATGGTTGTTTTGGAAGGGATTATTCAACTTTCTTTCAGAAAACTTGTGTGAAATACTTGTAAGTTGTTAGCAAGTGGGATAATCAAATTTGCAAGCTAAGCCATTATTTTATACATGTATGTAAATAACCATTCATTTTTGCTGTGAGATAACATTTAATTTTATCAAAAATACTCTGAAAAAAAATTAGGTTATGATTTTACCTCTCCTGAAAATAAAAATTCATATTGGTGTATAAGGGTATTGGAAGTTAAATTGTTCAGCAGGGATTAGTGGTGTTCAGTGATGGAAACCAAAGGCAAGATTGAACTGGGACTATTTAAACTTACTGTAAACTCATTATCATTCATGGGGTAGTTATTTTCACTGATTTCTTGTGTACAGGTTAACCATGAATTTAGATGCTCAGCAAAATACAAATTTGCTATGGACATTGCAGAATTTGATTAAAACCATGTCAGCAGGTATCTAAATAATATATTTTTCCTCAATCCATGAAAATGAATGAATCCACAGTACATAAATATCATTACAGTTTATTTTATTTATCTGTAGTCATACTCACAAGAACACTAACTACTGCTTTCATAACTTTACTATTGATTAAATAACATCTGACATTTGTCTAAACACATAAAGTGAACTAAACAAATGTGAACGTTTTTTAACACATAGTGTTCAGTATTTTTCATACATATTGTTCGGTATTTTTAACACATAATGTTCAGTATTTTCAATGCATGTTATGTTTGACTAGCAAGGATGCAAATAAACAATTACATACTAATAACAATAATTTGAGAAAAAAAATCTGAAATTGTTGCAAAAAAATAAGTACAAGGGTAGAATCAGGGTAAGAAGAGTATGCAACTAACATTAAAACTAGGATGCAACCATTTACTGTGTAAAAATTTAATATTCAAGCAAAACTTGAGACAATATTGGATTTAAATGTACCAATTTTTCAATTATACTACATCTATTTTTGTAAACTTTTTATAAAAGGGGAAAATGTTTAATAATAACAGAATTGACTTTTTGAAAAGAAATTAAATTAACAAGAGTGCACATGCTGAAATGTTTCGCCTGCTTCACTGATCATTGATTTTACAATTTTTTTATACACTAAATATAGTTGACCTATTGCTTATGGTATTTGAAAAACAGACCAAAATACAAAAACTTAACCTGATCAATGAACCATGAAAATGGGGTCAAGGTCAGATGAAACCTGCCAGACTGGCGTGTACCCATTACAATTATTCAAAACACCACATATAGTTGACGTATTGCTTATAGTATTTGAGAAACGGACCTAATCATGTAACTTTAACCTTGATAACTGATCCATAAAATGAGGTCGAGGTCAGGTGAAACCTATATGATGGACATGTTAATTTCTGTGTCATTTGTTCTCTTTGGGAGAGTTGTCTCATTGGCAATCATACCACATCTTCTTTTTATATGTAGATGTTGCAAGGAACCCATATACCAAATATAATTATCCTATTACTCATTATAAGTGAGAAATTCACATGACAAAAAAACAATAATTTTTTTCAAGCAGTCACGGAACCATGAAAATAAGGTCAGGGACAATGGACAGATGACAGACGGAAACTTTGTATCATAAGGTACATGTATCTGCATACAAGATATGAAGCATCCAGGTCTTCTTCCTTCAGAAATATAAAGCTTTATACAAATAGTTTATGCCACCGCTGGATAGTAATACCTAAGTCTTGCATACTGCAACTTTTGTGGCAGGCAAGACAAAATATAAAAAGTGTGAGCTTTCGAAGGAAAAGTGTCTTGTATTACTTATTTTTAAATAACTTTAACAAAGTGTAATCAAAAGTTTCTTCTTGACGTTACTTTATCAAAATAAGTTATTACATACTCAAGCACTTGACTTCTAACTCCAAAGTAAAATTAAACAGTCAGTGAAGCATGAAAATAAGGTTACAAAGACCCACAATACTTAAAGCTCCTAGTGATTTGATGTAGTTTGATCAAGTATTATAGTAATAGCTTAACAATGGTCAAACTAAGGATTGATATGACATACTTCTGTTTACTTCCAGTTAAACAGCTTTACATGTTTGTTTTATTAAATCTCAACCCACAATAAAAAGTTACCAAACATTCTTTTGATGGAACCCATGTTACCAGTAATCCTTATTTTAATTAATCTTTGAGTAATTTGTATACAACCAACAACGCTATAGTAAACAGCAAAAAGTAGGCCCATATACTAAAGAACTGACAACCAAAGACTAGCAACACATATGCCATTTTTGCCATGATGAAATGCCATGATGTATCAAGACAATATGCATTACTACAACATAAAACATCCACAACCAAGTATTCAAACAACAAACCACGGTGCAAACATAAATGTACTTCCATACAAGAAAACAAAACAATACCAAACACATCAAAACAATTCTCACACACATATACGTTGATGTCAAGACACATGAATTTTAAATATTTGCTCACATAAAGCTCATGTGACTGTCTTTTATAAACTCCACAGAGAACAATAGCTATTGTGTTTATTCAATGGGACAGTTTAACTTGCAAAAATTTGAATAGCATTTCAAAGATCAACTGATTCTGGGGTAAAGTTTTAGTTCTTTTGCAATACATTTTCTAAATAATTCTTTTCATCATGAAACTAAATATGAAACATAACTGAAGTTAATATATTGTTTGCACTAATGTTATAGAGAATTGAAACAGCAAAACTCTACTGATATGCTACCATTTATTTCAATTAGATATAGACATGAATTCAAAACTTAATCATAGAGTATTCAAGTGTAAAATATAGAGCATGAAAACCTAATGTTACTAAATGGTGAGAAAACTCTTGAGGTTGTAAGAAATCACTGGCAGAAACAGTATAGCTCCAACATATCAATAGATGAAAAAAGAACAAAAATGACTGTCATATTCCTGATTTTGGCATTACAGGCTCTTTACATGGTAAAATGTTGGATTACACAGGGTATGAGGGGATATTAAATCTGATAGAAATTGTTCAATATTTGAAAAATCAATGATATTAGTGGTATTTAATGCATAACACTGTGAAAAATTCATAATACCATTAAAAAAACATAACAATGTAATTGTATATATTGACAAATCTTCTCTTTACACAGATATATAATGGATCTGGTTAAACAGCACATGTACAGAGTGAATATAGAAGCTGACATTCAGAATCCTGATATAAGTAAGCTCAAATAGGCTGGCCTCTACTGAGGAAAGCAGCTGGATTGAACAAGCAAACCAAGCAAAATTATGTCATGTTGATTTAAGATGAGTTCCATCTGATGATGAATATGAAAATTCCCTCGCATCTTTATGCTCCAAAACAAGGCATGCATTGATGGTGAAAATGCAGATGTGAACGCAGGCTTGGGATTTCACTGAAATTTATGATTCGAAAACATTTTCAATAAAAAATTGAATGTTATTAATAAATCTATATTTGTGTATACAAAATGCATTCTGGGAAATCCCAGACCTGTATAAGTGACAAACATCGTAACAGCAACAAAATCACAAGCAAACTCTTTACCATTTTGTCGAAGATTTTTAGCCATCAAACCACTAGCAGATGTAAGTGAAACATTAGAACCGATTACATCGGGTACGTTTTGAAGGGTTGAATTTGAACCCATTAATTTATCTGGACTGTTTGATAATCTTGAAGAACATAAACCTTCTCTATCTTTCTCCTTTTTACTCCTTGATGAATCTTTAGTTTGTGACCGTGAAGACCTTCTTGAAGTCAGTAAAACATCATCTTTACTCTGCAGACTAGTTCTAGAACCTGATATATCTTCAGTTTTTTCCTTAAAAGATGTTCTTAAGGGGGATACATCTTTAGCCTGACTTGTTGTGGTCTCCGACATAGATTTTCTAGGAGATGGTTTAGGCCTTTCTGACCTTGCACTTCCACTTCTTGCAGTCACACATTCCTCATCAATTTCATCATCATCGTCATCGTCTTTGTTTTCCTTATTAGCTTCTTTTTCTTAACAATAGAATAGGTGAAAATAAACAAATAAAAAGAAAGAAAACAAAATTTTAAAATTTAATTGCCACAAAAAGATGTATCTCGCAAGCTATGCAATGTATCTGATCGATAACAATGTTATTTCTAGTTTTAAGGCAAAATACTAACTAATTAGTGATTTTAAAAATAGACATGAAAAGAAAACTTTGATTTACTCCAAGCTTACAGAGGTATGACTAAAAGAAGTTAGGCACTCTTGAAAATAAGATATTATAATGCTCATATAGCTACATTCCCAAAATCAATGGGCCATTGTTAGATATTCTTCCTTTCTGTTAACACATGATAAGATAAAGAAAACTTAACATTTAAAAGTAAAATTCAAAAGTCACAAAGAAAAATAAATATAAGTTCTTAAAATATTGTTAGGAGGTGGAGCCTTGTTCTTTGCTTGAAATCTTAATAGTTGGATTCCGATGCAAAAGGATGTAAAACTTCAAAGGTCAGTTTTTACTGTTTCTTAAAAAAAAACCTAATACAAATCTTTACCTTTATACAATGTAAAAATCCCAAATACCCTAAAGCAAAGTTGAGTAGGTGGACCCTTCTTTTTTTTGTATTACTGAAATAGCTTATTGTGAAACTGATCTAATTATAAACCTCAACATTAGGTGTTGACAACAATGCTGCTGCTGGGAAAGTCACATCTATGTCTTGCTCCAACTTTATATGTAGCAGTCTAAACAAAACAAAATCAATAAAATTGCACTTTTAACAAAAATTAAATGTACATGTATTAAAATTTTTAAATAATATTGAGCTGTAAACAAATTATAAAATAATGAGTTTAAAACTAGGTATAAAGTTAGCACAATTAAAAACAAATAAAATGCAAAAACTTTTTCATTAAAACTTGTAAAATTTAAACAGAAACAGAGGAAAATAAAAGCATCTAAAAAAGGCTAAATAAGCTGTTGCTAAAAAAGCACACCTTCTAACTTCAAACCTTCAGTATTGCTACTCACACTGTGTCAAATATAACCATCAATATGACCACTACTAATTCACAACAATAATCACAATACTCATTCCTCTACTTTTTACTGTCGTACATTTTTAAACATACAAACCAACCCACTTTCAAATCACGAGTTGACCATTGTATTATTAAGGTCAAGTCAAAGTAATTCACTGCCATCTGGATGATTTGGTGACAAATTATTATTTGATGTCATCCCATCATTGAAAATGTTAGATATTTATGACATTACAATAACAAATCCATAAGGCATAGGACTTCAGTTAAAAATTTTGAACAAAATATCACAGCCAGGTATCATTTGTGAAAAATCAAACACAATTTCACCATTAATATGTTTTAATGATTTGAGAAAGCTTAAAAACATGGTTATAATAAAAAAAAAATTAAACACAGCAAAGCACATTAAAAAGCTTTTGTAAACATTTATTTCAATAAATACCTTTATAAACAATGTGTCTTTGATGTGTTTTTAAAAAGACAAATTTTACTACATGTATGAAATATTTATAAGGGAAAGGGTAATAAACTGCATCCTTCTTGAATTTAAAATTAGGAATGATACCACTTCAACTTGACCTTAACAATATACATTTGATCAACTTTTTTTTTTCTTTTTACACCTTAAACCATTTATTTGTTAACCAATGTTTCTAGCAACTGATCAATTCAATTTAGATTTATCAACAGCAATTCAAAAAAAATGTTAGGTATTGCTATCAATAAGGCTCAAGTGAAACATCTTGGTCAAAGTGATTTTTCTAGACAATTCATATAACCAATTATGATTTCAACCATGGATATTTTTCACAATAGCTTTTGATAAATCAAAACAGAATTAAATCTTGGGGAGAAATTGGTAAACCAATGTATGATTTCTGATGTAATAACATGTGCATCATTAGCCTTTTACTGATTGCAAAATTCCAAATATATCAAAACCTGTTCAAACTTCATAGACAAACAGGATCACAAACTCTATCTGTTATTATCTGTATATAATTCAAATTTAAATACTGTATCTGTCAAACAGATAATCAAGTAAAGCAGTTGCAAATAGACACCACCATGCTCAAAGAAAAAGCTTAAGCAGTAGCAAACAAAAAGAAATCTTTTGCAAAAACTTTACATTCTTCAGGTTTGACCCACAAGAGCTGGTTAAAGATTGACAAATTTACTAGTAATAAAAACAAGAATATGTGTCCATAGGACACCACGCCCTAGTTGCACTATCACATTTGCACGGTCAGTGAACTGTGAAATCTGGGTTGAAATTCATATGAGAAATCCTTCATAGCAAATTCAAGTTAGAGTGTTATTAATTTGAACAAGTCTATTTTAGACCAGCTAAGTCCCAATCACTCTGGAACCAGAACAGTGACAAAATTATGAACAATAGATAATTCCTCAGTCTGTTATCCCTAATCATCTGTAAAAGTTTGAATGAAATCCGAAAAGCATATATATTTGAGTTTGTTTATGCCATTTTAAACAAGCCAATTTTTTTTTTAAAAGATCAGTTATTGAAAGTTTACCAGCAAAACATATTCATTTTGTCATGTCAAAACTATATTAGATAACACTAAAGCTACAGAGAAAATTGGCACTGCCACTGTAGTTTTCTTTACCACACCACACACTTAGTTACAATGTAAAAAAATCGTCATTATCTTTTGTAGAGATCAAAGACAGGTCTATTGACCAATGGGATGAATAATTGCCTTCATCTAGTTTTGCAAATATTGATTTAGAAAAAAAATATGTCAAAACTGGCTTCGTCAAAAGAACAATATCAATTAATTTTATTTTAGTTCCCTAGGTTTGTAAATTTGTAATACTTATCTGTATAAAGATTATGGTTGTGTAAGTTGAACTGATACAAAGCTGGTCTTATAAATTTTATTGAATCAGCGAGTAGTTAATTCTGAAGCCGTTTTGAATAAATCAAGTCTGGTAAAGTATTGCACTTTCTCACTCTCTGTTATATTGTACAAATATTAGGCAGTCACATGATGTATATTTATTAATAAAAATTGGTTATTTATTTGTTTCAACTTTCATATAAGCCATTTAGCATTTAAATAAAGGAGAAAGAAACCAATAAGTTCTTTAATTTAAAAATGTCCTTTTACGTGAGAAAATAGCCTCTTTTATTGTCTTTAAGTTGTAAAATTAGATTAAGCACATTTTCCTTCTTTCCTTGTCTTTTATAACACAATGAAATATTTTTTTAATTCTATTGTGACTAATGGAGAAACAAGACAAACATCAAAATGGCTAACTTGTCTGTATTGAAAAAAAGTAATTATTTTTGTTTTTCGCTGCAAGTTAATCTGTGTGTTTTTGTGTATTAACAAATCAATTATATCTTATTGCTCTCTACACATTTTTTGAAAATTCCTTCTGAATATATTGACTTGAAACTGAACATCATTATTCTAAAATGAGAAAAGATAGCATTGTTTTGTTACTGATGAAAAAAATATATGTCATCATCAGATGCCAGCAAGATCCCTGCTTTTACACTGGCAGTAGATTCAAATAAGGACAGAAAAAAGTTAGGGGACATGTGTAGCAATTTAAATTGTTAAGTTTCTTTCTCCTTTAACAACATATAAATGTATTCAAACAAAAAAGCCACCAAATCACTTCTATTTATATGATAAACCTCTTACTTCTATTACCAGACTCAATATTTGCTTGAGAAGCGCTTTTCTCTTGATCTGCAGTGAACAATACAACTAACTTTTAGTCATTTGTGCTACAAACCATGTTACCAAGTGCTTACGAATGTATTATGAAAACAGATCCAACAAAAACCAGAGAATAACACACGTTATGATTATTTTCAGAGCACATCTAAGTTAAAATGTTATGTAAAACAATTACATACTCTTTTAAAATAAAAACAAAGAAAAAAAGAAAGGTTATCTTTCAAGATTATTTTGATGAACTGAAAATCACATTTGTAAACAGCATCTGCTAAATGTTTTCCTTCCAAAAATTAAATTGAAATTTAAATAAAAAATACATATAAATTACATGATTGTACTTGTAAAAAAAATAATGTTTCACAAAACTGTTTAAAGATATCATATTAGTAGTTATACAATACAAAAGCCTGTTAACTTAAATATATAACTGGAAGGAAAAGTTTGTTAAATACTAAAAAAATGCAGAAGCCAAAGAATAAATTTTGTGAATACTAAGATTAATAGATAGATTAAGAGACTGCTAGGATCAAGCATGAGGGTTTTTAAAAATTAAATTGTTAAAATGTCGTAATTTTAAGCAATAAGCTCAGTTCATTTATCCACCAGGTTGTTATTAATAAAGGAAATAAAAGGTTCACACAAAGTATCTTGAGAATAACCGATCTTACTTTTTACCGATGACGCTGTAGATCTTACAGATACCTGCGATCCCGATACGTCACCTATAGAAAATAACTTTATAATACTTTCCATATAATCTTCTATGTATCAATTACTGGACATAAATGAGGGTGTGGATGGGGTTAACAGAATAGAGAATAATGGACAAAAAAGGAAAGAATGGAGAAAAACAGTCAAAAAATATTAAGAATAGAGAATAATGGCGTGCTAAAATATAAAGAATAGAGAAAAATGGGCAAAATAAATAAAGAATAGAGAGAAATGGGCAAAATAAAGAAAGAATAAAGAGAAATGGTCTAAAACAAATATATAGAAATGAAGGATCCCCATCCAGACCCTCATAGATGCTCTTTCAATGTTAATTGTTTGTTTGTTGGTGTTTTAAATCAACTTCCATAACCATGGCTATATCATGTTGGCCAGTTTTATTGATGGAGTATCTGATTACCCAGATAGATCCACCGACTTTTGGCAGGCAAATGGCAAAACTTGTCAATTAATATAATTTTAGAACAATTCGGTGCAGATTTATGCAAGAATTACACAAGTGGAACTTAAATGTGACACATTATATGATTTTGAAATTAATAAAGAACTTGTATCATTTTCTCCTTCTGATGCTTCATGAAGAATTTATCTGTATATATTAAAAAATCTTTTCTATTTCAACAGTTATTTTCCAATGTTTTATCCAGTTTTTAAGTGCAGTCTTTGAAAAAGATATCTTCTAACTAAATATTTAGCATTTTAGATTCAAAATTTAATATGAATGGTAAATTCCTCTTCTATTATGTAACACCACTTTTCAAATTCTTACATGGAAATGTACCTGAAATTACACTAATTCTAAAATAAATAAGACATCAAACATCCATAAATAAAATAATGATTTCAAATAAAAGTGAATTATTTCTTACCTCTCCTTTCTATTTCTTGCTTTTTCTTTTTTTCTTTCCTTTCCATCATTTTCCTTTGCATTTTTTTGCTTTCTTCTGTCGTAGACATGACCATTTTGCAAAACTGAAAATATAAGAAATAAGAATAAATATTATCTCTACTAGTGTTCATCTATACTTACCAAATCTATCTCAATTGAAGGTCACTTTGATTAAAAAAGACAATTCAGTCTTCATCATCTATCAAATAAAACCTGCTAGTTGAAACTAGTGTTCCAATACTGTGGATTCATTATTATTAGTGAGATAATAATTTTTGTAGAATTCGTGGATATAGGTGAATAATGAATTTAAATATTCAATGAACTATAAATTTTCTATATGGTAGGCTAGTGTGCAGACTTTAGCAAAATAATGGAAATAAATATCGACAAAATTGCAATTTTTCCATTTTTTTCATTGCATATAATATGCATATACCAGATTTATCTGAACCTAAACTGATTTTAAATGACTTTTTTTGCCATGGAAAAAGTAAAAGAATTTGATATTTGGACATTGCAAGAAAAAATATCAGTGCTTTGAAATGGTATATGTACTCATTAACAAAGAATCATGTTCTGACTATTACTGTTACCCAATAGAGGAGTCTGAATTTAAGATTATAATATCTCTACCCAGCAGATTACTTTTAACGGCTGACAATTTTATACATCTTATTTGTAAGTACATTAGTTATTGTTCATTTAATAATTCAATAAAGCAATTTAACAGCACATTTATCAAAATATTACAGATTGTTTCCCTTGAAAATTTGGTAACTATTTATTGTCTAGCAGAAATGAAGTCGTTTTTCATGTCATTTTCTTGACTCTAATACTTTATTTACTATCAACAGCTCTGTTCATTCCAACAGACAAAATAAAAAAAAATATTCCATGTGATTTTCTTTTACTCAAACATGCTGACCAAATAAAATGTGACAATATTTCAAATAATGAATCACTCATTATTGGTTATAGTACTAAGAAATGTGTAACAGTGATAAAAAGACTAAAAAATATTACATGTTGTAAATGCTCTTGATATTTTAAATTCTATTTGACAATAATTTATATCATGTACTGGATTTAACAATGATAGTTCAACAATATTCTGTGATGATACACTCAAAACTTAGTTGTTTAAAAGGTGATGTATATTAATTGATTATAAAAGCAGGGTAAAACTAGCTTGACGTGATCTTATGATCATATATTCCCGTGCCAGCCGTTTTTTTTTTTGGTTGATGACTTATTGATAAAATCTATAAGATTTTGAAAGATGGTTCTTTACGTATCACCTTGGAACCAAAATACTTACATTTTTAAAAATCTTTATAAGGGCATAACTCTTGAACCAGCAATGCCAAATGCTAACTTGGTCTGTATTCTATGTCTAAATTTCAAAAGATTTGGTGCCTTACTTATCATCCAGAAACTAAATCAATCCAAATTTTTAAGATAACTAAGGGGAATAACTTTTGAATCATACATGTCAAAAACATCAAAATGGAATTTTACCTGTATTTTATGGTCCATGAATCTTTGTTTGAATTTCAAGAGATTTTGTCAAGTTGTAATTTCCTTATCATCTGTCAACTAAAATTGTGAGGAACTGAAATGTGCATCACAATAATTACCCCTCTTTGAGAAGGGGTATTCAAGATAGGGGTATAATAATGAATAAACTAACCTTAGTTTAACAGGAAATTAACCACTAGAGTACCATGGAAAGCTCATGGATATATAAATTCCAGAAAAAATATGGCCAGTAACAATATTGACGATGACTATTATAAAGCACAGCTTTTTGCTTTTCTTTTAATATCTTATAGTTGAATATGTGACACAGGGGAGAAGGACAAAAATAACCTAGACAAAAGCCATGCTTGGACATGTCGCCCTCACCTCTTCAAATCGTGTATGTAGTATTTTGAAATTTCACGTAGTAAATATTTTATGATCTAAAATTAATATTTCCTCGTTAATAAATTTTTATTTTATTTATAATTCATATTGATTTGTTACTTTGATTGCAAAAGCAAGATGTTTTGTGTTACTGTGATGATTATAAATTAATAGCTAATTAGATAAATTACAATAACAACAATATTAATTATATGTCTTTAATTGAAGCTCATCTGGAAGAATAGATTTTTTAATAGCAGCTAATACAAAGCTTTTATTAAGAAAACAAACTCTGAATAATTGAACTAAGAAAGAAAATGTTTTATAATAAAGACATAACAACCCAGTTTTGTTTGTTTTCCTGCTCCTTGAAGTATCTATGTGTAAACCTTTCATTTCTTTAAATAAATATTTCACTAGTTTATCAGCTACTGATCATAAAGTTCTAAATATAACTTTGAACGCAATTTTAGCATAATTCAAATGAAACAGTACAAAGGGTCTGCAAACATTTGTAGCTTATTAGTGTAATGGAATATGTTACTACACAAAAGTGTTAGCGTGAGCTGTCCCACCAGGGTTCCTTCCACATCCGTCAAAAAAGACCTTGCCAATAGAACTATTGCATGGCAGTGTGAAAAAGTTGCTGTGAAAGCCAACATACATGTAGATATTACATGCTTATGATTTATTTTATAAAATTTTACCTCAGAATAACGTAAAACAGGTTCCTGAAATTTGTATACAATTTTCATAATCAAATATAAAGAGATTAAAATAGATATTTCTACCAATAAACTTATTTATATTTGCAATGAAATCAACCGCAATTTATATACAAAAGGGTTGAAAAGACAGTCTCCCTTAAATGTAAAAATAAAACAAACAAAAAAAAATCAGCAGTCTTCTTATGAGAACATACAAACTGTCATCGATTGTAAATATAGTTATGTCATTGTGTTTCTTCTATTTTGGGGTAGAGATGTATTTTGTCTTCTTTATAATAAATGTTTTGATTTTTCAGCATTCTACCTAGGACGATGCTATTTTTAAGATATCTTCATCAGTCAGAGGGCCACATGTTCTAAAAATTCGTAAAGGTTCTGCGGAACCCTGTGTCTCGCCTTTCTATTGCTGCTGTCAGTGTAAAAGTGTAATGTTGACTTACAAAGTTAGTCCATTTATCAGTAAAATACTAATTCAAACTTTTGCTTTAGATGCTATTTCATTGTCTTGAAGATTAGCTTTTGTCCAAGTTTCATAACAATTCATGAAAGTTTACAAATTTATCATGTCAATAAATCCCAGACAGTCTGTAAATGTTAACTGTAAAAAACTTAAGTCCATCTATCAGAAAATTACTGAAAATGAAAAAAATATATTTTCAAAAGTTTGCTTCAGATATTATCTCTTAATCATAAAAAAAGCTTCTGCCAAAGTTTCATAAAAATCTATGAAGGTTTGATAAAGTAATTGATTTGTAACAAACTTTAACCCCAGACTGTATCTTGTTAAATTTAAAAAAAACTAAGTCCATGCCATTTATCAGTAAAATACGAAAAAATTGAAATTAAATATTTTCAAAGTTTTGCCCTGGATACTGTCTTTTGGTCATAAACAAACTTCTGTCTAAATTTCCTAAAATTCCATGAAGGTTTGACAAAGTTATTGATGTCTAAAAAAACTTTAACCACAGATTTAACTTAAATGTTGACGATGCTGGCGTCAACATAATGTGAGATCGCTATGTCTCAATTTCGTGACATAAATGTTGCAGACTCGGCAATAAAATAAAACAATTTGTTCTAGACTTTAACCTCTTTATAATCCAGTCTGCCATCCCTGTTTTCATCTACTTCATCAATCATCGTTTTTACTTCACTTTTACTTTTCTTTTCACCTTTCTGAAATTAAAACAATAAAATACTATACATTTTGTCTTTCATATACTTACTTTGACATAGGGGTTACTAACTTACTATACAACTACAAGTTACATTCTTTTTTCTAACTTTTCCTTTGAACTTTTAAAAAATTCGTAAGGGTTCCGCGGAACCCAGTGTCTTGCCTACTTTTGCTGTTAATCGCAGGCTCAACAAAAATGAGGAAAAAAAAATTAAAAATATTCCTCTCTATACTATCTTTTGATTGTAAGTAGCTTCTGTCCAAGTTTGGTAAAAATCCAGGATAATTTATGAATCTTATAAATGTTTTAAAAACTTAAACTGCAGACTGTATGTAATGTTGACTGGAAGAAAAACTAAGTCCATTTATAAGTAAAATACGGAAAAAATGGAACAAAATTTTATCAAAATTTCCTTCTAGATACTAGCTTTTGATCATAAACAAGCTTCTGTCCAAGTGTGGTACAAATCCAGGATAGTTTAAGAAAGTTATTAAAATTTTAAAAACTTTAACCACAGAGTGAATGTAATGTTAACTGGCAGAAAAACTAAGTCCATTTATAAGTAAAATACGGAAAAAAAGGAATTTTTTTTTTACAAAATTTACTTCTGGATACTATCTTATGATCATAAACAAGCTTCTTTCCAAGTTTGGTAGAAATCCAGGATAGTTTAAGAAAGTTATTAAAATTTCAAAAACTTTAACCACAGAGTGAATGTAATGTTTCCTGGCAGAAAAACTAAGTCCATTTATAAGTAAAATACGGAAATAATGGAATTTTTTTTTTACAAAATTTGCTTTTGAATATAATCTTATGATCATAAACAAGCTTCTGTCCAAGTTTGGTAGAAATCCAGGATAGTTTAAGAAAGTTATTAAAATTTCAAAAACTTTAACCACAGTGTGAATGTAATGTTTCCTGGCAGAAAAACTAAGTCCATTTATCAGTAAAATACGGAAAAAATGGATTTTTTTTTTTACAAAATTTACTTTTGAATATAATCTTATGATCATTAACAAGCTTCTGTCCAAGTTTGGTAGAAATCCAGGATAGTTTAAGAAAGTTATTAAAATTTCAAAAACTTTAACCACAGAGTGAATATTTGTGGACGCCGCCGACGCCGCCGACGACGCCGACGGAATGTAGGATCGCTATGTCTCGCTTTTTCGACAAAAGTCGAAGGCTCGACAAAAATAATAATCTGCAATATGTAAAAAAAACTAAGTCCATTTATCAGTAAAATACGAAAAAATATAAATAAATATTTTAAAAATTTTGCTCTGGAGACTGTATTTTACCCATAAACAAACTTCTGTCCAAATTTCCTAAAATTCCATGAAGGTTTGACAGGGTTATTGATGTCTAAAAAACATTAACCACACACTTAACCTAAATGTTGACGCATAACCTTACAGTTTCCTTTTTCCATAAAATTTTTTCAGTACATGTACTCCTATTTAAATTATTGTACTGCATATTTTATAATAATTTAAAAACCAAAATAAATTACAAAATTTTAACTAAAGTCATGATATCAAACTATGAAAAGCATTTTTTTACTTTTTTTCTAAGGTGATTGGATTTCAAATAATGAGCTAAAAAAAAAACTTATCAAATACTATAATTATGCAAATTTATGCAATGTGTAAAGTATACCTGCCAGTAGAACTAATTTTTTTCTCAAACATTTTTTCTTAAGACAAGTATCTTACTGAAGTCAAAATTTTATGTAACTCCTCTAGAGAAATATAACCATCTCCATTAATGTCAATTTTTCTGAATGCTTTCATTAAATCATCTGACGTTGTAACTGGTTCTTTTCTGCAGATATCAACAAAATCGTCAAAGGATAATTCATCTGTTATGAGTAAATGAAAAAACAATAATTAAAATATGTTTGCCATACATACTGACTTGATAAAACTTTCTTTATATATTGAATTATTGTTTATTGTATTCTATTATAGGAAGCAAAGGCATCAAGACTTGTTTTGCTCTTGAAATTTAGTACTGTTGGATTTGATTGTAGTAACAAATAAAAAGAAATCTTTCGATTTACAACAGATATTTTGCTATTTTTTTAACTAGTAAAATAACTGCATTGATTAATGTAGACTCTGGAAAGATCAATATATAAGGTTTACATTTTTCTAATAAATAGTATAAATGAAAATTTAACACAAATACCAACAAATTCAAAGTTTTATTTGAAATATATTTTCCTCGTACTGGAAAAAAATGAAATTTCATAGACATAACTTAATAAAATGCTCCGCTGGGAGCAGCTTGATACGACAGCAGAGGTCGAACCCTGAACAGTTGGGGCAAGTATGGACACAACATTCAAGCTTGATACAGCTCTGAATTTGGATTGTGATTAAATATTTGATACAGCATAGGTTTCTGACACAGAATGAACTTAAGAACTTAAAATTTTTTAATTTACCTATTATGGTCCAATATCCAAAATCTAAATACATGGTTAGATTCAGCATATCAAAGAATCCAAAGAATTCAATTTTTTTTTAAGTTTAATTTTGGACCCTTCTCACCTCAATGTGGACCAATTTGATAACGGGGCCCAAAAATCAAAATACATGGTTAGATTCAGCATACCAAAATCAAAAATCTAAATACATGTACATGTTTAGATTCAGCATATCAAAGAATCCATATATTCAATTTTTGTTAAAATCAAACTAAATTTAATTTTGGACCCTTTGGACCTTAATGTAGACCAATTTGAAAACTGGACCCAAAATTAAAAATCTAAATACACGGTCAGAATCGGCATAACAAATAAACAAATAAATAAATGTGGTCAAAGATTTTACAAATCTAATGTGCCATACTGTGCAATTTATAAAGATTACTTTAAGATTATATTTGAAATTTGAAAAAAAACAAAAAAATATTTGAAGAATAATTCTGAAATCTGAAATGAGAAAAAATTAACCCCCCCCCCCACAATTTCTTTTTACCCCCCCCCCCCCCCCCCCCCCCCCCCCCTTTTTCGCAAAAAAAATTCTTTCCCTCAAGATATGGTTATAATCTCAATTCAAATTTCCAATGGAATTTGCAACCATAATTACCAATTTAAATTTACCATAGTGCTAACTTAATATATTTTATAATAGAATTTAAAATATGGTGTCAAATCTTTCAAATGGATTTTTTTGTAAAAAAAAAAAGATGCAACATTTGCAGATATTTTTACTGGTCCCTCTTTTATAAATATGCATTTCTTTAAACATAATATAAAAGCAGTGTAAGGGAAGTAATCAAAACGTTGTATTTGGATTACCTCCCTTACACTGTTTTAAATTGTCTTAATTGTTCATTAACCATTACTTTATACATAATTTAAAAGCAGTGAAAGGGAGGTAATTCAAATGATGTATTTGATTTATCTCCCTTACACTACTTTAAATTATGTTTTGTACTGAAGTATTTGTCCATTAACCAGGACAACCTTGTTTTTCCCCCTTTTTTGCCCCTAATTCCTAAACGGTTTGAGCCATAACCACCCAAAGCAAATCCTAACCATCCCTTTGTGGTATGGAAACTTGTGGTATAATTTCAGAGAGATCCATACACCGTTCGACAAGTTATTGTCTGGAAACTAGAAAATGCTTATTTTTGGCCCCTTTTTGGCCCCTCATTCCTTAACTATTGGTACCATAACCCCCAAAATCAATCCCAACCTTCCTTTTGTGGTATTTAACCTTATGGTAAAATTTCATAGAGATCCATTCACTTAAACTAAAGTTATAGTGCAAAAACCAATGTGTCTTCGGACGATGATGACGACGCCAACTTCATACAATATACAACCGCGGTCATATAAAAAAGTGCCATAGCCTTGAATTCTTTACAGTACACAATTTTCTACCCAAAAATTTAATTTTTTGTTATTATTATTGAAATGTAAATCTATACTAGTAAACTATTGTTATAAATACGTATCAATACCTACTAGAAAGAAACTCAGGATGCTTGATATCTATTATAGCATATTCACACCATACATTAATAAGAGTGAGGGAATACAAAACTAAAAGGGATTATAATATTTTCAGACTATAAGTAACTTGTACTTACCTGTGTCATTTGTCCAATACTTTTTCAAAACTTTCACTGATGGATTCCTGCCAGTTTGCTGTAATGCTGTAAAGGTTGATAAATGAAATTAAAAGTTTAACAAAGGGTCAGTACTGACCATGAAAATTCATCAAAATTAAGACTGTGATGTTCCCACGTTGCTGATGTAGAATCACGGTAATGTATACTAATATTTGTAATATATTCGGAAGCAATAAAAATGTATTTACTTAACACTATTTGATATGCTACCTAATGGAGAATAAATGGTACAAAGGTCTATTTACTATGGCCCTGAAAAACCATCAACTACATAACGGCAAAAATGTCTGGTTTTCTTGTGTTTTTTTTCCAGGATTTTTCCTAAAACCTCATACAGGAGCATAAGATTTTCCATGTGTCAGATTTAACCAAAAATGTCCTGAAAATTTACATATCTTATAAAGAAAATTATGAATACAAATAAAACATACATGCAAAATCCACTTGTTAAAACACAATAATCTTTGGGTAACATCTGATGTTCATACCAGCCAACTTGTCAATATCTCCATCATGGGGACCCGGTATTTTACGCCCTAGAAAGAACTTCAAAATCCAGGTCAACACCTTGCATGGGGGAAATCACCTTTTAAAATTGTGACAGTTGGCAGGTCTGAATGTAATTATCACTTTCTTGTCCCTTGATTATTACTGCCAGAAGCTATTTTTGTTTCAGAAATTAATATTATTCATAACATTTGGTACATGTACCTTCTAATAAGCTATCCTGTGACTCTATCTTTTCTTTTATACTATCAAACATTGATAAGTATGCTGCTTTACATTCCAAGATAAATTCCCCTTGGTCCATTGTAGAACTTCTACTGGATCTGCGTGACATGTTGGAGAATTCTAGTTTCCTATAAAAAAAAAAGAATAATACTTCAAAGTAGTAAAGGAAACAATTGTAATTCTTTGGTTTGTTTCTTCATATTCGCAAGCTTCCTTTCTCCATCAATGGAGTTATAAAATGGTATTCCAATCACATGCTGTTTAAAACTATTCATATTTCAAAATATAATATTCAAAAAATGAATCATTTTAAAGAAATAATCATTATGTATATGTAGCAAGTTGAACTGTGACCTATAAATATTTGGTAAACAAGAAGTCAATGGGTGATATACACATGTATATAAATATGCATTACACAGTATATAGCATGCTCACATGAACATTGATTCGAATGTCTGTATTAAGTAAACAAGTATAAGTTGAAAAAACATCTGAACTTTTTAAAGGGAACAGGTAAATATATTTTAACATGAAAAAAATATTTTCTCTTTTATTTTTCAATTAAGCCAAAAACAGGTTAGGGCTTGACAATTACAGTTGTCTGATTGTCTGGTAACAGTAAAATAAGGGATATTTTCAGAGTGGATAAATTCATCCAAAACAAGGTAAGGCAAGCTTGGCAGTGTTCAGTATGTGGTACAAAAATATAAAATTGAATATTCACTGCAATAAATCAAAAAATATTTATTCAAATCTTGTACCCAAGCGCCTGTGGCCCGATCGTCATCAAATTTGGGCCAGATCGACATGAAATCTAAGCTTTGGGGCCCATGAGGTAGAACCTGCCTCATATTATAAACTTTTGCCAAATGCAACATACATGACATAATTCTGATTGTAAATTTTTGTTGTGTTGGATGCCAAGGTCCTGTCATGCTTTGAAAACTTTATTGTTGAACATTTTTGTCTTTACTTTGTGTAAATTTTGTGATATAAACACGGTCATTTTTTCCAAAAGGTTATGATGAACCATAAGGTTTATGACCACTTCTGTAGGCCTGTGTATTAGGAAATTTTCAAAGTGCAATAATATCAAAATAGCAAAAATACAGAATAAAAGAGATGTGCATTTTGTACATAAACCAATGGAAAAAGTCACTCAAAGCAATACTATTTATTGTTTCATTGCATTTAATGATCTTTTATTGAAAATAGAGATTTTGAGGCAAATAAAGCAAAAATTTTTTTTAAAAATCCACGGACTGAATGACAGAGATTTTGTTATAAAATTTTAAACATAGATTGCTCACTTATTCATCCATGATGTGCTAGAATTTATTGTTAACAAAAAGTCCTAAACAATCTTTAGTATTCAAAAAACATTGTGCAGAGTCACTAAAGTTGAGCGCACCCTAGAAGGTGTACTTGAATCAGTCCATATCTATACTTGTTTTAACCAATATCTTTACATGTATTAATAATCATTTTTTTTTGTATCAAGGAAATCATTGTCAGCAACATGGCTTCCAAAACGGTCATATATTCCGGACTTGACCGAAATTTATATAAAAAGTCCGGCTGCTCTCAGCCTCAAACGGTCAAATATCATAGGTTTGCCACTTTTTGTTATTCAAGGCATTTTCATAAAACGGTCATTTCACTTATTTTACCAACTATCGATCGGCAAAAATGTCCGTTTGTGCATTATAGTTTATAATTGTGGCAATCTATTTCACAAAGATATTTCGGTCATAATTGGGTTTAATTAAACAGATGCAGCATATTTCATACTTTGAAGTGTCTCAGTTAGTCTAATCCTCTGGGTACACAAACGACGGCTTGGTACATCAATAAAAAGTAGAAAAAAAATGGTTCTTTTATTTAAAAAACAACAAGCTGTCAAACAATTATCCCTTCAATAAGTAATATTGAAGCCATAAATCATTCACTGATTACAGGTCATTACCTTTGATGAGAGTAATCAATAGAATTGATGATGCATAACAATTAACATAAAGGTGATCAGGTAAACGAGGTCAAACATGTAAGCGTGTATGGAACAACATCCTATTTAATTACACTTTGTAGATATTATTGTATATGCATCATGACCATTCAGTTTTAAAAAAGTTTCCTTAGATTTTAAAATAATTCTTCAAATAAGAATTTTTATAAATGAGTTCGTATATGTATGATATTCATTATTATATTTAAAAACACTGTACATCGTGTCTCACTATACAAATCCTTGATCGTGTTAAATACTGGGGTACGCTAAAGGGTATTCAAAGTTATTTTCTTACATTTCAGCCGGTTGCATCTAATTAATTTAGTCTAAAAGATTGAAATTATAAGAAATACGTTAATAAATATGATTTGATGAAAAATTTGAAAAGGTTTTAAACGAATAATCGTCAGAACCACGTTGTTTGAACTAGTACATGTGTGCGCATGTGTCTATTGTCCGCTGGTGGGCAATTTAATTATGCATCCTAGTTCTTCAATAATGCTAAAATTATCATTGATACCTTTATCAAACGTTCATTTCAATATTTTCTTGAAGAAATAACTTGAAAAGGCTACTTAACTCAATCGTAAACTTACACGGATATTACGTATCCGTCTCTGATCCGTGATTTACCATTGTCAAGTCAACATCCGGCATTAGGAAAATGTGATTTTAAAAACAAAAGTAAAGCTTTTGACAGCGTTATTTTGCACAAATAAAGAGTCTAAAGCGGAAGTAGTACACTGATGTTGCACACTTCGAATGCTGCACTTTCAATTTAACACTTTACGTTAGAACATCGAATTTATATCAAAGTAAAGTTTAACATCGTTTTAATGTCAATCATTGGTTATATCATATATGAACCATATATGATGGCCAACTGATTATCATAGTTGCCTAATTTACTAAGTCTAAAGGGATTTAAAATCGGGATAAGATATGAAATGTCCGGCTGGCTCAAAAAAATTTTGAAAGCCCTGGTCAGCAATACTCCTCTATCTGTTAAGCATGAATTGTCAAATGTAAAAGTAAAATGGGAAAGGCTGTGGATTTTTTTGTATCCATATGTGAGGGTTGTAATGGGGGTATCTTCATGAAAAAGTAAAAGTTCTTGCCAAATGACCTTAACAGTAATTTTTGGTGCATGACGATAAAATGTACACTTTCTTTTAGACGATAAAAAAATCGACTGATTTAGACAATTCACGTTAAATTTTTTTAGAAAAAATATCGGTAACGATAATTGTTTGAGACCTCTGACAAGTCGATCACAATAAGGATATTTTGACGAATCAATGTAAAATTTTAACCAATTTGACGCTAACAGTAGCCTAAATTGACCGTTTGACGCCTGACGGTAAAGGGCATTCCTACTCTCATATGTTAAGCATTAAAACAACAAAAGGGTACATACAATAATCCTTAAAAAAAAAGAGCTACATATCGTCTTGGTACCTGTTTTGACGCGGACCAGAAATGACGCACCGATTTAGTTAACGGTTTTATATTCCTAAACAAAAGCCGTGACGTCATCAACATTTGCTGTTCATAACATGATGTTGAAGGTCATCTGACTACAACAAAGATGCCTAAAACTCTGCCCAGAAATGTTATTATTGCTTAAAATATTAAAGACAATGCAATTTCCGCCATTTTATTAAGGTAAAAAAATGTCTACCCTTCCCCGAAAGATTATCAGTCCTATCTCCACTTTGGTCAAGAAAAGCATGTAACCGCATGCTTCCCCCTTTTGTGTTTTTCAAATCAAGTGACTGTCATGTGACATGGTTTCACATTTAAGCGGGAATCACTGTAGAACAAATGATCGTAGCTTATATAATTTTCTATGGTTTATCGATTTTTTTTTCATTCAATGTATGAAGTATACATTGATAAATGTATTATTGTCAATGTTGTTTTATGAATGCAATTACTTTTTATTTTCAAATATATGGAATATGTATATCACTTTCATAAATTTTGAACAATTATATACCAAAATATAGGTTACATTTAAATTGATTAAAAATTTGGTGTTACAATCATCATGATCATTAAAGTGAATGAAAATATCAAAATTTGTTAATAGAATTGAATCTGTTGATCAGTTTAAATTTTAAAGAATCCGGATTGAAGCAATTTTTCGATTATTAGTTACGTGCAAGTGGTTTTTACTGGTTTGTTTACAGTGCGTCATTACTGGTACCCATCATTAGTTGGCAGTCCGTATGTAATGTTAGAAAACATGAATTTTATTGCTATTACCGTTTCAAATATCAACTGTTTAATGATTGAAATATAATAACAAGTTACCAATCTTTTATTCCATTCCGTTTTTCTAATTCTTTTAAATGGTAGATTAAATGTAGAGACAAAACAACCTTAGGTGCGTCATTACTGGTTCCTCGGGGATACTAATGCTTATCTAAGGTAAGAGTGATTTATATGAAGAAAAAACAAAAAGAACAGCCCAATCCCATTATTTTGCATTTCAACTTGTATCCATTTGCAGAAAAAAAGAAATATATTTTTTTATCTGATTCTTGACAACCAACCAACCGACTTGTTCTGTTCTTTACCAATATTATTGATGTCAATGTAAACAGGAAACCATTAAAAATTAACATGCGCAGACATGCACAATGAAGGATCCTTTGATTTATTAATAGTTGAAAATAATTGATTGAATTATTCTATTGTTCCTCTTGATATTTCTGTTGTGTATCAAATATTCAAAATGATATTTATATGAAAATTAATATCCAAATTTTTAATCTTTACCCTTTCAAAACGATACATCTAGATAATATGGTAAAATAAAATTTGATAAAATAAAGGATCCCATTTAGCAAATCTTTAAAAAAGAGATAAAAACGGAGTTATGCAAATCTGCATCAACAAGCTGTTTCACAAATACATCTTTATCACACAAAATAAGGCAAAAATTTGACACCGAGTAAATTTCGTGGCAGATGCCCGACAGAATGAATAATATCGTTTATGTTGCCCTTGTGTCTTTATATGCTATTTTTGTAAGATGGTGCATTTCCTTAAACACATACTCAGGTAAATTCGATATAACTGGAAATATTTGTACAATGAAATTGTTCGGGAAATTTATATGACGTATAATTTGTAAGATTTTTTGTCTCTCTTTTATTTTTATATTACACCTCATATTTATCAGCCTTAAATGAACAGGTTCTGTTTTGACGTCGAGAACATGTCTAGCATTCTAGGAGAGAATATGTTATTACAAATAATAATTTAGTATAATATGGGTATCAGGTCCGTTCGCCCTAATTACATGTTCGCCCTGAGTCCGTTCGCCCATAGAGTCCGTTCGCCCTGGGTCCGTTCGCTCTAATTTTAAAAAAAATTATTAATATTTATGGTATAATTTAAGGTTTTATAATCTTATTCAGATATTTAAATGGTTAATATTAAAAAAATATATATATCTCCAAATTCATGAATAAACATGGAAATTAATAAAAAAAAAAAAAAGGTTTTTGTTTTGGAGCATTAATCAGGCTAAGGATTTGTATAGATCTCACTATACAAATCCTTGATCAGGCTAATTGGCTTCATTGTTACAATTGTTTTTATTCAGAATTACTTTTAAAGACTGTTGATTATAGATAAACTCATTATAGATACCAGGATTGAAAATTTGTACACCAGACATACGTTTCGTCTACAAAAGACTCATCAGTGACGCTTGAATCAAAAAGGTTAATAAGGCCAAATAAAGTACGAAGATGAAGAGCATTGAGGACCCAAAATTCCTAAAAGTTTTGCCAAAGGTAAGCTAAGGTAATCTATTCCTGAGGTGGAAAAGGCTTAGTATTCCGAAAATTCAAAGTTTTGTAATTAAGAATGCTGATTAGGTATGATTACGATGTCTTTGATCACACTGATTGTTGTAGTTATTGTTTTTGATGGATTAATAATGAAAATGTTTTTTTTTTTAAATAAACAAGTCAGCTTGGAATGAGTTAAAACAATGATGTAAGAATTGTAAGACATTAAAGGGAAATTGTTTTCGCCACTTGGCTTCTTTTATCTCAAGGTGTTGAGTGAGTTGGATCTTGTTATACCTGTTTGGATTGTTTTGAAATTGTACAAGGTTTCAAAAAAGATAAATCCATACAGCATGTACAGATAACTTGGTCTCCAGTTTCTGAACACTTTTTCTTCTTCTTCAAAATACTGCCCGCATTCAACATGATGAATATTCTGGCAAGAATATTTAATGCAAATCAAAAGAAAAATAATTATCTGGTAGCAGCAATACCGTGACAACATAAATATTCGGCTAAATTTTCAACAAACTTTAACATAATTAATTCAAATAATTTATACTATACAAGACAACAAAATAAAATAGAAATCAGGGCGAACGGACTCAGTGCGAACAGGAATTAGGGCGAACGGACCCAGGGCGAACAGGTATTAGGGCGATCAGGTACTTGGGCGAACGTGAATCAGGGCGAATGGACCCGGATTCCTAAAATATGCACGGTCACATTCTTGAGTCAGTTGAAAATGCAAAATATCTAGGCATAACTATATCATCAAATTTGAAATGGAACAAACACATTCAGAACATGACATCAAAAGCAAATAAGACCCTTGCATTCATCAGAAGAAATCTAAAAATAAACTCAGTAACCATCAAAGACCGAGCATACCAAGCCCTTATTAGACCGAAACTAGAATACTGCTGCACTGTCTGGGACCCTTACACAACAGAGAAAATTAACTCCATAGAAAAAGTCCAAAGACATGCAGCAAGATACATATGTTCTAAATACCAATATACTGAAAGTGTAACAAACATGCTTAACACACTTCACTGGCCAACATTACAAGAAAGAAGACTCAAAAGCCGATTAAATATGTTCCATAGAATTACAAACAACAAAATTGCCATACCACATACTGACATACTAATTAAAAGCAAATCAAACACCAGGTCTAGCCACGAACAAACATACCGACAAATTCGATGCAGCAAAGACAGTTTCAAATTTTCATTTTTCTGCCAAACTATAAAAGACTGGAACAAAATACCAGAACCAATAGCCTGCAGCACCACTACTGAGTGTTTCAAGGAGAAACTCACTAGAGAAATTCTCCTTGACACTTACAAATACCTGCATGTTTAATATGTTTCTTGTTTTTATCTTATACCAAAAATTAAAAATAAAAATTGAAAAATATTACTTACATATACATGATATACACTTGTATATATCAAAAAATTGAAAAATAATTATGAAATTAAATATATTTTAAATTATTAACAATACTGTTAAACTAGGCATGCGCCAGAAAGTAATCATCAACCAGTTGATGTTTTTCTGTATATAAAGAAGAAAGAAGAATACGTGTATGATAAAGCATCCTATTATATTATATGTTAAGAGACTTGATTCACGTTAGGAACACATAATTAAATAAGAAAAAATTAAATGTGAAAAAAATTTCAATTCTAAAGGAGTTCAAAGCTCACAGGAATCATTTTATTTTTAATATGACAAATGCAATTGTTCTACATGTACATTTTATATCTTGTTTATGAATAGGAAAATTCATTTATGGAAATGATCTACCGAATTTATCTTTCAAAAATGGGAAGTATGTAGTTTTACTATAAAAAGTGTAAGCTTTCCTTTATGTTTGGGGTATAGGATATACAAGATTACTCACTTAAAGTTCTTTCATTATCTATATTATGAAAATTATAGAAATTGAAAATGAGGGTTGGTTGAAAACAAAATTCACGATAAAAGAGATGATTTCAGCTTCTTAATTTGAACAGTCCATTTCTATGTAGCAACATCCCAGCAGCGCCTGCATACCAAGTATATATCTCCCAGTTGATACAATATTCCAGGGCTCGTATTTCTTATGATTACCATGATTACCTTGATAGAGGATTGCTGTTCACAAGGAAGCTATTAAACCAAGAGTTCCAAGTGGTGAAGTTGAAATCATCCCTTTGTAAATTTTACGGACGCCAACACAAGTTGGTTGACCGTTATGGAATATCTGTTTTGCAGATAACGACGGATATGTTCCAATTGTCGTAACTACAATCCTGTCCCCTTTACCCCGAATGTGACCTACTGAATTAGACTTAGCACCAAGTTTGTACTTACATGAGCAACAGGACGGGTGCCACATGTGGAGCAGGATCTGCTTACCCTTTCGGAAGACCTCAGATCCCCCCCCCCAGTTTTTGATGGGGTTTATGTTGCTCAGTCTTTAGTTTTCTATGTTGTGTTTTGTGTACTGTTGTTTGTCTGTTTGTCTTTTTCTTTTTTAGCCATGGTGTTGTCTCTCTTTTATATTAGTATTGTCTTTTTTGTTTTATAGCCCGAAATTAGAAAAATTGAATAAATGAATTATTTGTTGGATTAGCCTTCAATCATGATCATGGAAAAAAGATGGTGTGAAAAGTAAGAAAAGGATACATTTGTAGTCCCCTTTAATACTCTTGGTTGGCATCCCAAATGGAAAATTAAACATGGTGGTTACCATAGCTATAGCTAAAACCTAAAAATTTATATATTTTTGTTTTATTTACATTTCATGACTAACAATATTAGTAATTCATTTTTGTTTTCACAACAGGAGCTGGAAAGAAACCAATGTTTGGTGACTACGAAGCACAAAGGCATTGGATGGAGATTTCATACAATTTACCGGTTCATTCGTGGTAATTATTGCAAAGCTAATGCATAAAAAGAGATGTTGGGTATATGTCTTTGAGACTGGAAACCAAAGACAAAACAAAAAACAAAAGACATGTAGAAGTCAACATAAAGTCTTTATCAATTATCAAATCAAATGTCTATACATTATATTAAGCTGTATATTTGCTTGTCCAGAAAAGTTTTTTGAAATTAAACCAGAAAAACCTTAAATAATCCATTAATAAAGAGTCCCTAAATGACAAATCTCTTTGTGAAATCTCTTAAAAAAATTGGTATTTAATTATAACTCCAAGGAATTGAATTAATGCCTATTTTATTTTTAACTTTCAATCATATTATCTTAATTTTTAACATCTTTTTTAAATCCTAATAAAAAAATTCAGCTTGGAAAGTATAAGTGTTTTAAGAATTGTACATAATAAGTAACTAATATTTATCCCTTGCATTGCAGGTATACCAATTCAAGTGTGAATAATTTGTTGTACTGGGGACTGGATTATCCCCCTTTAACTGCATATCATAGTTGGATTTGTGGTTTTTTGTAAGTTAACCCTATAACACTTTATTGCAATGTAAAAGAAAATTAGTCAAAATCATATATTTTTTTTAAAGTATTATTTTTTTTTTTATTTGTTGCATATCAATTTTCATAGTTTTTATTTGTCAAAGCAATCCTCAAAAATTTATGTTCAACAAAAAATAACCACCTGACTTCAATTTTAGAGGTTGAAGTTTGAAAGAATTTTGCTAAGGGTTTGGACAACACACTTCTGTTGCTGAATAATGCAATATAATTAGATGCATGTAAATATAAAAATAAGTAGATGTGGTATGATTGCCAGTGAGACAACTCTCCACCAGAACCCATGTTTATGTTTATAATACTTCAGTGGAAACATATATCTGCATGTGATTTATAATTGATATTATGTAAACTAATGAAATTTAATGCTTTAATTATGTGTGATAATGCCTTTTTTATTTATTTTTTGACACGTTGCAGGGAGACATAGTAATACCGGGCGTCCTTCTTCCATCCGTCCATCACTTAAGCAATTTTAGTCTTAATAATTTTGGATTTGGCGAAAATACTATTTTATCATAATTCACAAAAATTACTGATAACACATAAATTACATTTATTTGACTTTGAATATAGATCTGCTGTATTTAAAGATCTGGAGTTAATGACATTTTCAATCATAAAAAAAAATTGATATATATAAAAATTTTAATGATATAATGAAACAAATTTTCAAATTTTATATTTAAACCATTTGTAGGTCACAAAAGATAAATCCGGAATGGGTGAAGTTGAATACTTCACAAGGATATGAGAGTTATGAACACAAATTATTCATGAGATATACAGGTTCGTCAACAATAGAAAGAGTAATACTGGTTTAAACTTAAACTCGTTTTAAAACTGATTTTTTAAAATGCATGTATGATTTACTGTGTGAACAAAAGTTTTTCAAAATTCATTGATATTCATAGGATAATAATTAATAATTTAGATGAAAGTTTCATATGATTCTGCATTCTTGATTAGTCAATAGTTTCATAAACAAATAAAATCACAATTATTGGATATGCCTACATTTACCAGAACTATTCTCAATTGATTTATGACTCCCCTCAACAAAGTGGAAAAAGGTTTGCTGTTTCTGATGTCAAGGGCGTCAACAATGTATAAAGTAAAACAACAAGAACACCGAACTCCAAGGAAAACCAAAAACGGAAAGTCCCCCAACAACTGGCAAAATCAAACATGTATTAGATTGTTAGTTTATGGGGAACCGCTAATGGAAGGTCAATGATATTTGGTATGCAGATGTATAAGCATTGGCACACATCTCATTTCCATGGAGATTATTGGGCCCCTCCCCCTCAGTTATGGTCTATTGACTTTGAAACTTTTGCTTAGTTTACATGTATTAATTTGTGATTGGGTCAATTTAAGGGGGCCGACTAGTGGTAGGTCGATGCTATTTTGTATACAGATGTATTAGAATTGGCACATCTCAATTCCATAGTCTGGCCCCGCACCCTCAGTCAGAATCTATTGACTTGAAACTTTTGCTTAATTTACATGTACAAGCTTGTGATTAGGCCATTTTAAGATGAACCACCAAAGATATTTGGTATGTAGTTGTATTAGCATTTACAAGTCTTATTTCAATGTAGATTATACGGCCCTGCCCTCTCATCATGGTTCATTGAAATTGAAACTTTTGCATAATTTACATGTTAAAGTTTGTGTTTAGATAAGTTTAAAGTGAACCACTTATGATAAGTCAATGGAAATTGATGTGCAGCTTTATAAGTATTAGCATTTCTCATTTCCATGGAGGTTATTTGGCCCTTCACCTTCAGTCATGGTTCATTGACTTTGAATGTTTTGCATAGTTTACATGTTTAATATAATTCCATTGTAATTTCAACATTTGCATTATTCTATCAAAATAATATAAAGTTGAAACATATCCCTGTGTCAACAGTTTGTTATGTATTGTATTTACAAATACATATTTGTATATGATGGCTGGTATAATTTACTGATATGATATTTCAGTTACTGAAAATTCAGAAATCATATCATTTAGACTCAAATTTTAAATATTCTTGATTTATCAAAGTTCAGAATAATCTAGGGTATTGTGAAGAACAGGAAAAAACATAAATAGCAATAAATTAAGATTTTAAAAATGTGTGATTCCCTATACTGTTTACTGTAAGCAGTTAGCTTACCATCATGACCAAATATCAGTCAATGATTGTAATGACAAAATAGAAGATGAGATACATTTTTATACATTGCCATTGGTCAATAGGTTCATTATTATTTATGATAAATATTATTTATTTCCTCATTACATCAATATTATGGTGTTATAACATGATTATTTCTGCATTGGCCTTGTAATTGATTCTAGGCTTGCTGTGCTGGCCTGAGGTGAAGCCAAAGGTGGAGGACGTATTACAAGGCCAATACAGAAATAATCCTATAATGATATCTTTATTAATTAACTACTATGTTTATTGTATATTTTTGGTGTTTTATTTCTTTTCACAAGTTTTTTACATTTTCTTCCTGAAACTGGAACTATTCCAATCTGAGTTTTCTTATATAAGCTGCAATGTCAAATGCTCTGGTGCTGTTTCGTGGTGTCTTCTACGTATTCTGTTTCTACAGACTAGGTATTGTTCACCCTTTTCAGTCACTAAAAGTGTTACAATTCATATTTTGATGCAACACATAGTAATTGGAAAGGTACTGCCATTGCATGAGAGATACAGAAACAAAAAAATAGATAAAATTAGGAGTTTCATATGGTTGCCAATGAAACAATTATCCTTATACCAACTGATCAAAGAACAAAGACGTGAACAATTACAGGTCACTGTGTTGCCTTCAACAATTTATATGCCTGGTCCAGGCTGAAAAATAAATGGCACCTTACAAGAACATGAGGAGCGAAAGTAAACAGTAAATGGAGTTAAAATGTTTTAAATAGTTATGAGGTCGCCATAAAATGAGCATTGTGATACTCTACAGACTCATTGCCCAAACCTGAAAAAATCAAACAGTCTGCTGCCAAAGGCTTTTTTAAATGAATGTGACTGTCTTCAGTTTGAAATATTTGCCAAACTGAAAGTTTCGTCATGTTTATGCTGTGTAAACAAAACAGCATCTTCCAGATGACAGTTAACATTAAGTTGGTGTTCATCATGATTTTCGATCCAGAGATATCTCAAATCCTGTTTTGGCTGGATCAGAACTCGACCAATACGACTAAAAATCAATATTGGCCGAGGTGACACTTTTGTATTGCAGAGGCAGTTTTTAAACCCCCGTTGATCGGATGTATTATGGTATACCGTAGTCCGGCTGTCCATCCGTCGTCAACATGTCAGACAATAACTAAAAAATGTTTTAACCAATTTTTATGAAACTTTGGTGAATTGTTTATCTATTGACGTAAGCTACCTTTCGATTTTTATAAATTTCCGAGTTATGGGATTTTATTCATAAAAAAGGGGGGATTTTTTCCAGTTTTTTGACAATAACTCAAAAATGATTTTTATCTATTAAAATAAGCTCCCTTTAGTTTTTTTTTACAAATTTCTGATTTGACATTGAGCAGTAATGGAACTTTATTCGTTGAAAAAGCGAAAGGCATATCATGCGCTCATGGCACAGCTCTTTATTATCATATTAAGTCCAATAACAGAGTAGTTAATTGATAAATGATAAATATTACATCACTGTATGATAATATATAAATAACACATAGCTGAGAGGGTGATAGAGCAGATTTTTACCCCGAGAAAACATTGTCAACTGAGGCGAAGCCAAGGTTGACAATGTCTTTTCGAGGGGTAGCAATCTGCTCTATCACCCTCTCAGATATGTGTTATTTAATTTATTATACTGAATGTTCTGTTATTACTGTCGATTAAATTTCAAATTCAAAGTAATAAACTATGATGTCTTGTACATAACAACCATCCGTATTTAATAAAGGGCACACTTGATCAAGCGTCTCCGTGAAGGGTAATAGAGTATTTGCCATAGGATAGAGTCGTATTTAATAAAGCGCACACTTGATCAAGCGTCTCCGTGAAGGATAATAGAGTATTTACCATAGAATAGAGTAAATTAACACCCTCGTATAAGACAATCAAAATATTGCTTTTTTACGTGAAGTATAATAAATACTTTTATCATATACTTAGAATAAATAACTTATAATTTTTACAGTATGATAATAGCATTAAATTTACGTGAATTCCATATTTTCCGAAATGGTGCTTAGCGGGCTGATATGAAAAATTTATAAACTGCTTCCGGCTATTATTGCATGCCTTTCCGTAACGTTATCGCATGGTGTTACTCTGCAAATTCCAGAAAATACACATCAATGGTACGTTTACTGTGAATAACATAACAAAGTAGGGTACAAAAAAAATAAAAGAAAAAGGAAAATATATTATGTAAAATTAAAAAAAAAAATGATACAATAAATGCATTTTCAAAGTTTTTAGCATAATTTAGCAAGTTACTTTACAAATGTTGACTTTTGCAAACAGTGTTCATTATGATTTGTTGATTTTTTTTTTATCGTCAATATAAAAATATATCATACTGTTGTTTTTCTTCACTATTGAGGCATATGATAGAAAGATTTCATATCGGATGTATTACATTTTGCGTCCGTAGTCCGTAAACTTTTAATTTTTTGAACTTCTACTTGAGAACCACTTAAAAGGATCAATATTTTAAACTGTTATTTTTCTCCATTGTTGAAGCATATGATAAAAGATCATAACATGTAATTCTTCATATCAGATGTATTACCAGCCCAAGGTTCAATATCAGCCCAAGAGCCGAAGGCTCGAGGGCTGATATTGACTGAGGGCTGGTAATACATCTGATATGAAAAATGCCATGTAATAATCTGATGGTATTATTTATTTCCTCTATTTATTTCCTTATTGCAACACTATCTGATAAATATTATTTATTTCCTCATTCCATCACTATCTGAAAAATATTATTTATTTCCTTATTTCATCATTTTATGATTAATACTTTTTATTTCCTCATTAAATCACTATATGATAAATATTTTTGATTTCCTCATTACATTAATATCTATCAACTTCAGAAAGCAAGTTTCACAAATTATTAGTAGTAAACTAATCAACTCTCTTCCATAGTGTGAACATAATTTTTTTAAACAACTAACAATCTACTTTACACCATACCCTGAATCTTGACAAGTTGTAAATGAACTCAGTAGAAATTACAATGATTCTACAGATCAATTCTTACTAATTCTATAAATTCAAAATAAATATGGTGAACCAACACCTGAAGTAGTGATTGTGCAGACAAGTAAAATGTGGGAGGATACAGAAATTATTAAAAGCACAAACATAGTCAAAATTATTTGGAATACCAGACAACTTGTTAAGAGTAAATTAGAAAGAACCCAAAACAGAATGAACCACAGGAACCACACTACATATTTATGAAAATGAACTTGAAAAATGGATATTATGCAAAAACCTCAAACTGCCGTGACTTCCACAATTCCCAACAACTGTGACGACCATACATCTCACAATATTTCAGACATAATTGGAAGTAGTATTTCCTTGAGAGTGAAGACAGTAGGAATGGTACAGAATGACCAGTGAGGTGCAGTCCATTTGGGAAATAATACTGACAATTTAACATTTTCTTTCACTTTCACGTTCTATATAACGAAACCCTTAGGAACCTCCCAGTAGATAATCTAAAACACAGGCAGAATAGACACCTTCAAACTAGTTTAACCCCGCCACATTCTGTATGTGCTTGTAATTCAGTGGTTGTCGTTTGTTGCTGTATATCATATTTGTTTTTCGTTCATTATTTTGTATATAAATCAGGTTGTTAGTTTTCTCATTTGAATTGTTTTACATTTGTCATTTCGGGGCCTTTTATAGCTGACTATGCGGTATGGGTTTTACTCATTGTTGAAGCCGTACGTTGACCTATAGTTGTTAAATTCTGTGTCATTTGGTCTCTTGTGGAATGTTGTCTCATTGGCAATCATACCACATCTTCTTATTTTTATACTAACCATATCTTTTACAGCTTCAAGAAAACACTAACTCTTCTTTAAATACCTTTATTTACACTTAACTTTCACTTTCCATCAACAATAATGTCGTCATGACTGTCATTGTGACATCACTTCAAGAGAACTGCATAACCGCAAGATTTGTACTTCAGTATTTCATTTCATACTTTTACTTGTCCTGAAGACACCACGCTTGTTGGCGAATTATGTTACCCATAATAAACAATTACTTTGCGGTAATTTACGGGTGTTGATGTCTTTAATGTTGTTAATTCTATAAATGAATAATCAGCAAAATGATAAAAGACCACTGACATTAGGCATCTGTTAGACTGACAGATATATAAACATATGTATATGTTGTTGTCAATACATGTTTAATTAAAACAAGTAATTATTAATAGTGGTGTGTGAATAAATCACAATAGACAAATCTATTATGGATATAGAATATAATATCACAAGATCAGTGTATAGTAATGGAGAACTACAGTCAACTACAGACAGAACGTCTATTAAAAAAATATAACTTGGAAACTTATCAACTCTTTTCCATATTGCAAACATTATTTTGTAGAACAAGCTAAGCGTTAACAGCAGTGTTTTATTCGTTTTAATATAGCAGTATGTGTAGCATCTCTTAAAGTAATGATCACAGAAATTAACTCCTTTTTAAAATCTTGTACTGCCTTTTTATGATGTTAGTTGTCCTTTTTATATTTATTCATTATATAATTACCTTGGAACTAGATTATTTCACTATATTTGTTTAATTTTCTTTTTCAGTGCTTTTTGCAGATGTTGTTATATTTTTTCCAGTGATATTTCTGATCTTTAAACAGATGAAAATTGGTGAGACTCAAATGGTAATGTAAATGTGTCATTCAATTGAGCAAAAATGGATAATTGCACATGCAGCTATCTGAAACCAACAAAGATTATTTCTACATGTTATAAGCAATTATAAGCTTTTACCATTTATTGAACAGGATTAACTATTTTTCATTTGTGGTTAACAATTGACCATTGATTTATTTTATATATCCAACCATGTAGTCTATTGAAAAATAATTGACCCATTTAGCAAATTTAAGAAACAATTCTTTCTTGCCATGCTCTTTGCATTTTTTAATATTGCATTATATTTGTCAATTTCTTAATACTGAACATTAGCAAGGTGTAAAATAATGACAAAAATAATATTAATAGGAGCATAGTAATTGGAAAATTCAGAATGTTTGTACTTCAAAGTTGACTTAAAAGACACCCTCTAGGCAGCCATTTTGAAATAGGGATGGAAGAATTGCAAGACCTTGTTTTCCTGAAATGTTGAAGTAATGGAAATCTGGTTTCTTAGTGTAATGCAAACTTAAATTCTCCAAGAATCAGATATTCTAATGTCATTTATAATTCAGTTACAGGAGAATTTAAAAAGCTCCACACTAGGGAACAAGGTTTTTATTACCAATTGCTATAGGTACATAAAGAACAAAATGAAGTATAAAAACCATAAATGATGTACAACTTGTGGTCCATTGACATTTAGTAGGTGTATTTGTTTCAGATGCCTGTAGTGAGTTTTGAAAAGAATGATATTGTTTTTGATCCAAAAAAAATCTGATTTTAAGTGTTGGTTCTTTACATTGCAGATAAAGGCAGCTATGTTGACACTGATGTATCCAGGATTGATTCTAATAGACCATGGTCATTTCCAGTATCCTTTATTGCAGCATATGATAAAAACATGAATATGCCTGCTTTTTATTTGAGGTTTTCTTGTTGAGTAGGATTCTAAAATGCTATATAGCTAGCTCATAAGGAAATAGTCCACAGACAGACTTATCACTCGCCCTACTTCTGCAAGAACAAATTTGGCAAAACGTAAACAAACATAAAAAAGACAGTTTTTCTTTTAAGTTTGGTTTGTAGTACTCTTTAAACGTATCCCTGCCCTGCAATTTTAATTTTGGAGTTAAAAAAAACACAGATTAAGCATGCCTGAATACAAATATAACATTCAGTCAGATTGTTAATTTAATGAACATTCCCATAAAGTTTGACATGAAAAGGTTTAAATATATTTTTTTGCAGTTCATCCATAGAGTTACTTTTATAAATTGAAAAGTATAGCAATATATTATGAAACAAGATCCTTAACAATAAAACAGATACAATTGCATTAGCTTAGGTTTAATGTTATTTGGTGTTCTGTTTTTAAGCCAAGGTCGAGACCTCCTAGGATCTATAGCATTTTGTTTGGCCTTGAACTATAAACAGATGGGACTTTACCATGCTCTCCCATTCTTTTGTTATTTACTTGGAATTTGTTTCCAAAGTCAGAATCAAAATGGGTAAGTATAATATAACTTTTTATGATAAGACATGAAAATTAAAATTTCAGTAGAAGTAAATTTTACGCATATCAAAATGAAGAGCCTTATTTTCAAAGAGAAGTTGAATGAATTTCTGATGGCTATTAATTTTGTTGCTGTATTAGATTTTATCAACATTCATTTTGGGAAAATGAGAATGACTTTTTTTTATTTAGGTAATGACTAATGAATATACTTTGAATGCTATCATTGTCGTTTTTTTTCTTCAGATTTTTCAGATTAATTAAAATAGGATTGGCTGTTATTACAACATTTGTTCTGTGTTGGCTGCCATTTTTATCCAGTGTAGAATCAGCTGTACAAGTATTACACAGACTATTTCCCTTTGCCAGAGGTTTATATGAAGTAGGTTGCATTTCTTATACAAATATATTGATTTAACACTATACTATAATGGTGACTATTAAAGCTTTCCAAAAAACAAGAAAAACAAACATTATTCTTTGTTATCAAAATTATACACTGAAGAAGAAGATTTGAAATAAGGATTAACTGGAACTTTTTAATTTTAACACTTCAATATAAAGGAGAGAAATAATATTAGATAAAAAAAAGAAATTATTTGTTTTATATATTTTCAGGATAAAGTTGCCAATGTGTGGTGTACATTGTCACTTGTAATAAAGCTTAAAAATATATTGACAACAGATCAAATAATCCTTTTGTGGTAGGTTGTTATTTTATTTTCTAAATTATTTATGAAGACGTGCCAAATTGGCAGAAAGTTTGAGATAAGAGCTACTATTTGAAGGAATTTATAAACAAAGATAAATATTCTTAAGCATTGTAATTTTGAATTCAAGTGCTTTTAAAGACTCTGTATGCAGTAATATTATTTGTGTCATCCTTTAGTATGCAAATCAACTGTTTATTTATTAATTTGAATCATTCTTTTCTTTTAGTTTAGTATCAACATTAGTAATATTACTACCATTATCTTTGGATCTGTTAATAAGACCTAGTATTCAAAGATTTAAATTAGCTTTAGTAAGTATTTTTATACGACCGCAAAAAAATTTTGTGGTCGTATATTGGTATGACGTTGGCGTCGTCGGCGTCGTCCGGCGTCGTCGTCCGAATACATATTGGTTTTCGCACTCTAACTTTAGTTTAAGTGAATGGATCTTTTTGAAATTTGACCATAAGGTTAAATACCACAAAAGGAAGGTTGGGATTGATTTTGGGGGTTATGGTACCAACAGTTAAGGAATTAGGGGCCAAAAAGGGGCCAAAAATGAGCATTTTCTAGTTTCCAGACAATAACTGTGGAACGGTGTATGGATCTCTCTGAAATTATACTACAAGTTTCCATACCACAATGGGATGGTTAGGATTTGCTTTGGGGGGTTATGGCTCAAACCGTTTAGGAATTACGGGCAAAAAAGGGGGAAAAACAAGGTTGTCCTGGTTAATGGACAAATACTATAGTACAAAACATAATTTAAAGCAGTGTAAGGGAGATAAATCAAATACATCATTGAAATTATCTCCCTTACACTGCTTTTAAATTATGTATAAAGTAATGGTTAATGAACAATAAAGATAATCTAAAACAGTGTAAGGGAGGTAATCCAAATACAATGTTTTGGTTACTTCCCTTACACTGCTTTTAAATTATGTTTAAAGAAATGCATATTTATAAAGGAAGACCAGTAAAAATATCTGCAAATGTTTTCATCTTTTTTTTTTACAAAAAAATCCATATGAAAGATTTGACACTATATTTTTATTAATTCTATTATAAAATAGATTAAGTTAGCACTATGGTAAATTTAAATGGGTAATTATGGTTGCCAACTCCATTGGAAATTTGAATTGAGATTATGACCATATCTTGAGGGAAAGATTTTTTTGGGGGGAAAAAGGGGGGGAGGATAAAAAGAAATTGTGGGGGGCCAATTTTTTCTCATTTCAGATTTCAGAAATTAAAAAGAATTATTCTTCAAATATTTTTTTTTTTTCAAATTTCAAATATTGAAAAATTTCAAGAAGTAATCTTTAATTGCACAGTATGGCGCATTAGATTTGTAAAATCTTTGATCACATTTATTTATTTGTTATGCCGAATCTAACAGTGTATTTAGATTTTTAATTTTGGGTCCAGTTTTCAAATTGGTCTACATTAATGTCCAAAGGGTCCAAAATTAAACTTTGTTTGATTTTAGCAAAAATTGAATATATGAGGTTCTTTGATATGCTGAATCTAAACTTGTATTTAGATTTTTGATTTTTGGCCCAGTTTTCAAGTTGGTCCAAATTGGGGTCCAAAATTAAACTTTGTTTGATTTCAACAAAAATTGAATATATGGGGTTCTTTGATATGCTGAATCTAACCATGTATTTAGATTTTTTATTTGTGGACCCCGTTATCTAATTGATTCATATTGAGGTCAAAAGGGTCCAAAATTAAACTTTGTTTGATTTCATCTAAAATTGAATTATTGGGGTTCTTTGATATTCCAAATCTAACCGTGTATTTAGGTTTTTAATTTTGGGTCCTGTTTTTTAAATTGGTCTACCTTGAGGTCCAAAGGGTCCAAAATTAAACTTAGTTTGATTTTGACAAAAATTTAATTCTTGGGGTTCTTTGATTTGCTGAATCTAAACTTGTGTTTAGATTTTTGATTATGGGCCCAGTTTTCAAGTTGGTCCAAGATAGGGTCCAGTATTTAAACTTTGTTTGATTTCAACAAAAATTGAATATATGGGGTTCTTTGATATGCTGAATCTAAACATGTATTTAGATTTTTGATTATGGGCCCAGTTTTCAAGTTGGTCCAAATTGGGGTCCAAAATTAAACTTTGTTTGATTTCAACAAAAATTGAATATATGAGGTTCTTTGATATGCTGAATCTAACCATGTATTTAGATTTTTTATTTGTAGGCCCCGCTATCAAATTGGTTCATATTGAGGTCAAAAGGGTCCAAAATTAAACTTTGTTTGATTTCATCGAAAATTGAATTATTGGGGTTCTTTGATATGCCAAATCTAACCGTGTTTTTAGATTTTTAATTTGGGTTCCGTTTTTTAAATTGGTCTTCATTGAGGTCCAAAGGGTCCAAAATTAAACTTAGTTTGATTTTAACAAAAATTGAATTCTTGGGGTTCTTTGATATGCTGAATCTAAACATGTGTTTAGATTTTTGATTATGGGCCCAGTTTTCAAGTTGGTCCAAGTTGGGGTCCAAAATTAAACTTTTTTTTATTTCAACAAAAATTGAATATATGGGGTTCTTTGATATGCTGAATCTAACCATGAATTTAGATTTTTTATTTGTGGGCCCCGCTATCAAATTGGTTCATATTGAGGTCAAAAGGGTCCAAAATTAAACTTTGTTTGATTTCATCATAAATTGAATTATTGGGGTTCTTTGATATTCCAAATCTAACCGTGTATTTAGATTTTTAATTTTAAGTCCCGTTTTTAAAATTGGTCTACATTTAGGTCCAAAATTAAACTTAGTTTGATTTTAGCAAAAATTGAATTCTTGGGGTTCTTTGATATGCTGAATCTAAACATGTGTTTAGATTTTTGATTATGGGCCCAGTTTTCAAGTTGGTCCAAATTGGGGTCCAAAATTAAACTTTGTTTGATTTTAACAAAAATTGAATATATGGGGTTCTTTGATATGCTGAATCTAACCATGTATTTTGATTTTGGACATTGGACCATAATAGGTAAATTAAAAAAATTCAAGTTCTTAGACCACATTCTTTCTGTGTCAGAAACCTATGCTGTGTCAAATATTTAATAACAATCCAAATTCAGAGCTGTATCAAGCTTGAATGTTGTGTCCATACTTGCCCCAACTGTTCAGGGTTCGACCTCTGCGGTCGTATCAAGCTGCGCCCCAGCGAAGCATTTTATTTAGAAATAAAAAAGATTTCAAAATATGAACATAAGATGGCTAAGTGATTAAATGTGCATACAGCCAATTATGTTAATTCTAATCATTATTGTTTCATGTTTACTTATCTTTAATCAGCATGTTTCCTGTTAATAGATCTAAAATTACATAGTGGAACACCAAATGTAAAAGTTTCATAATGCATTCACTTACAGTGTAATTTAGATGATCATTGATGTCTGTTTAACTTCCAGTGGCTAATTTAAATGCATATTCAGGATAAAAACTTGTTGAATGTGATAAGAATTTGAACCTGCTGTGTACTAGATCAACAGGCTGAATCTGATTTTTAATGTGCTATTTCACAGTCCACAGGAAGACATGTCATCCTAGTCAGTTACATTATTCAGACTCAAAGCTGACCAATCTTTACTCTTACTCCTAAATGACATGTGCTTAGTGTAGAAGCACTAGGCAGTTAAGAGATATTTGGTGTTTGTAAGGGTGTTATATGCAAAACAGTATGTTTAAAAAAAAAAGGATTCAGCACAACATTTATTGTAGTTTGTACATTTTATTGATGTAAAATTGTATTTGATATAATTAAACACATAATTTAGCTCCCATAAATATACCACTATTTGGGAAAATTCTACATGACCACTTAAGATTGGTTACCACTCATTCAAGGTCATGGTTTAGACAGGTTTGTCTGTATTTGTTGTATGTTGTTCCTTTCACTTTATCATTAAAATTATATTGGGGTTTTTTTCAGATAAATTCATCTTTAGTCTTTTTCCTGTTTTCTTTTCAAGTCCATGAGAAAAGTATATTAATTCCTGCCATGTGAGTGTTGTTATTCTTATACATGTTAAACATTGAATGCTGAAACAAATGATGAATGATCGTAATGGTTGCTCAGAATTCTTAACAGAATATAAGGTTTCCAGCAAACTGATTCATATTTTTTATTGAAAGTAGCATTTCCTCTGATGAGTCTTACTGAACATTAAATCTAATTGATAATGATGATTTTTTATAGGGAATTGTTTGTTATGGAGCAATCAGTCGATTGTAGGCCTCATTTAGTTCTAAGGGAATAGCCTAACAGTGTGTTAGCGAAAAAGATTGTAGGTGGCTTTTAAACATAAAAAAATGAGCGTATCTTACTTGGTTTTATGTTCTAATTATGTTTGAATGGAAAACAATGTATCGTTATTTCTTTAATACTCATTTCAAAGAAAATATTTTTAGAGGAATTACAGTGGATTTAAGATATGATGCAGGCAATGTAACTATTCTTTAATTATACCCCCGCTTTAAAAAAGTGGGGGTATGCTGTTTTACCTCTGTCTGTCCTTCCGTCAGTCCATCCGTCAGTCCGTCCGTCCGTCTCATGAATATTTTCGTCGCATTTTTCTCAGGAACTACTTGACAAGGATTTCTGAAATTTGGTTTCAGGGTTTATATAAGTAAGTTACACCGTGTGATGCGTTTTCAGATTCATCACTCAACAACTTCCTGTTTACCGAACACTTGTATTATTTTACACATGATAGCCAAGTTGAAAATTTTCGTCACATTTTTCTCAGGAACTACTTGACAAGGATTTCTGAAATTTGGTTTCAGGGTTTATATAAGTCAGCTATACAGTGTGATGCGTTTTCAGATTCATCACTCAACAACTTCCTGTTTACCGAAATATTTCGGCGGGGGTATCATTAGTGAGCAGTAGCTCACAGTTTTACTTATTCAGTATGAATGTTATAGAGACATGTTAATCTCTCCACAAACCAGGCTTTGTATGTCAAACAGGCATGTACACCTTACAACAAAGCTACTTAAAATATTTTTGTCTTGTAACTTAAAATTGATTGATGTAAAAGTTAGACTTCATTAGTAACAATTAATGATGCGGAGGAGACATTTCTGCTTATATTCTTTTGTTTGCCATTTGAAGTATGATGCACTGTAATTATTTTAATTTTCATTTGTCTTCTTCTTGTGGGGTATTTAAAGGTTTTACAGTACAGATTGAAATATAAAAGCTTTTTAAAGTAAAATGGCAGCAGTATATTGTTGTCCTTACTTCTCTCCCCTGTCGAAATTAATAGAATATCATATAAATGATTTTTTTGTACTGTGTATTATAAAATGTAAATGATAGAATATGTAGATGATAAAATAATCTGAAAAAATAATTATTTGTGTACTTTCAGAGTTGTATGTCTGCAGATAAATAAAGAATCATTTTGGTGTGTATGGTTTGGAGTATTGTCAACATTCAGGTATTATTTGTGTACTTTCTCATTTGAATTGTTTTACATTTTTTTAGTCAGGGCCTTTAATAGCTTGCTATATATGCGGTAAAGGCTCATTGCTGAAGGCTGTATGGCTACCTATAGTTGTAACATATATGTCATTTGGTCTCTGGTGGATAGTTGTCTCATTGGCAATCAAACCTCATCTTCTTATTTTATATAAGTAAAAAATTGATCCTCTATGTCAATACTTGAAGAACCCAAAAAAAGTTTAATTAAAATACTGAGATTTGACACCAAGACAAGGACAGTTATACGGCAAAATGATTGTCGACTTACCTCCCCTTTTAAAAACAAAATGGTGTACTTTGTTTGATCAAGACTAAAAAGAAGTGGCTATCATGTTTTATGACTTACATCATGCCTTTTCATAGGTATTTTTATTATACCCCCGCTTTAAAAAAGTGGGGGTATACTGTTTTACCTCTGTCTGTCCATCCATCCATCCGTCCCTCCGTCAGTCTGTCAGTCCGTCAGTCCGTCCATCCGTCCCATGAAAATTTTTCGTCACATCCTTCTCAGGAACTACAATACAAGGATTTCTGAAATTTGGTTTCAGGGTTTATATAAGTCAGCTATACCGTGTGATGCGTTTTCAGATTGATCACTCAACAACTTCCTGTTAACCAAACACTTACGTCATTTTACACAACACATCCAAGTTGAAAATTTTCGTCACTTTTTTCTCAGGAACTACATTACAAGGATTTCTGAAATTTGGTTTCAGTGTTTATATAAGTCAGCTCTACTGTGTGATGCGTTTTCAGATTCATCACTCAAGAACTTCCTGTTTACCGTCAAGTATTTGGGCTGGGGGTATCATCAGTGAGCAGTAGCTTGCAGTTTCACTTGTTTTTACCATTTTGGTGGTCTAGTGGTTGTTTGCTTGCCTCAATTGCAGAGGTAGTGGGATCAATCCCCAGCCTGTCAAACCAAAAACTTGCAAAATAGTATTTGCTTTTGCCCTACTAATCAAGCGCATGTAGGAGTAGAGCAAAGACTCGTCCACCTGCAGTCAGAACAATGCTTCTTGTTAGGGTTACATGTCTTTCTGCTGACTGTTGTCTTTAAACTAGCACATCAAATAGAGAAAGGCGTGTTTGTCTAGTACAAAGCCGGTTTTATATTCATATCACATAAGCATGTTCTGGTCCTGAATATGCATTTAACTTGCTACTGAACAACTCATCATCATAAGTATTTTAAAGTTCAGATAAGTACTTCAATGGTACATTGTATAACAAAAATATACATCTTTTTCAGCATGTTACCACTTCTTATAAAAGATGGTTTGACAACAGCTTTTATTGGATGCACACTGTTGTATTTAATTTTGTCATTAACATTGTATGACCTTGTTCAGTACACTGGATGGAAAAAGTCTCTACAAAAAATAACGGTAAGATTAAATAAAAATTGAACATGTTAAAATTACAACAAAATACACCCTAAACAGTTTCTTGACAAATAATTAAAATGTTATACACAGAAAGGATAACAAAAGGACTTACTAAAAATAAAGGACGTAAACAGCAGACCACACCAAACATCAACACTATTACTCCTCTCAAAGAAAAAAATGTCCCAAGACAAATAATTATGAACAACACATGGTACAATCATAAAATAGCTTCGGTTTTCACAGTTTTACGTGTATCACAAACCTCACAATTTGATTATCTAGACTTGTATCTTTGGAATAGTTCATAATGTTAGACTTTTCTGTGCAAGAGATACTTTTTGTTACATGTGCCGAAATATATATATATTTAAAACTTGCTCATAGGACTTAAGGATGTTGGCTCCCCTGTTTTAAAATAAAAGACTGTTATAAATTGATAGTATATAAATAATGGAACTTAAAAAGCAGAAAAAAATGACGATTTTATAAGATTTTCAAAAATTACTTTTTATACAATATATAATAGAAATATATGAAAAGAAAAGTAGGGGTTAGTGGGCAAAATTTTTATTGGCATTAGGGAGCTACCATTTGATTTTTATGGGGGGGGGGGGGGGGGGGGGCTAGGATGAAATTTGAAAAAAATAGGCAGGACAGGAGTTTTGAGTAAAAAAAAGACAGGAGGAGACACTTGTAAAAAAAAAAGTCAGGATGACAATTTAGGTTAAAAATAGTCAGGATAAACTTTAAAAAAAAAATGCAGGACTGAATAGAGTGAAAAATAAAAAGGCAGGACAGAGATAACAACTAAAAAAAAATGCAGGACAAAATTTTTTATCCTAGCCCCCCATAAAAATCAAATGGTAGCTCCCTTACATTGACAAAACTAGAGGATTCTGAATATCTTATAAAAAATCAAAAACAAGAGTAGCGAAATTCTTTAGTATGTGAATTTCTGCATGTCTAGCTATCTCAAGAAATTTGCTAGTGTAGGTTTCCTAAAAATATCCTTATAACAGTAAAGATAGACTCAAACTAGCATCCTTTCATTATTCATCAAATCATGTTATATCATCAACTTTTGGTAGTATTGAACTTTATGCAATTATGTGAAAAAATGATTTGCATTCAATGCATGTACATTTTGTTCTTTTCATGGAAATAAATGACATCTGACAGCACAAAAAAAAATGTATATGACTTCACCCACAAATGCCAGCTTTTGTATCAAAATTTTATACATGTAGTGGTCTTTGACTTTACATGTAAAATTGCTAAAAAAAATATTTATTAAAAATGCTTACTCTACATAAAAAAAACTCTTTACAAAGTGAGTGGGACACACAAAAAGTCTGGCAGGCATCACATTTGTTTAGAATTCAGAATTACCTTGTATATGTACACTTATAATAATGTTTAGCATGATTTTTTTTTTTTTTTTTGCATTTCAGTTTTCAATGTCTTTACTTGGAATGGCTGTTTTAACCATAGGGAGTTTGACAGTAAAACCACCGGTTCATCTGCCTGACTTGTTTCCAGTTCTAGTCTCAGCATATTCTTGTGTTCATTTTGTGATTTTTTTAATTTATTTTCATTATAGACAGTTAACACTTGCAAATGACAGAGTAGACGAAGTTGTATTGAAGAAAAAAATGTCATAAAACAATTTTATATAATTAAATTTGCTGTATTTAAGTTTAGCGTTATTTGTGTAATGTGTATTTCAGTTTTTCATAGTGACACATCCAGGTACCGGTAATCAAAATTATCAGCTGCTGAAAATAAAAAAAATCAATTTATGACCTTTAAAAGACACTGATAGACAGATCATAATGTACAATTTTTTGGTTCCTAATGTGCTCAAAAGGTGGGCATCTTTGTTACAATAAAAAATTGTAAACACCTGACATCTAGGCCTCTGAACATCATTATTTTGGTTCTGGACAAAATGTTTCGAACCATAAAACATTATCTCTACCCAATATGGTTTGATGATGCTGCAGTGCTTCTGGGTGAATATTCCATATAGTTGGACCAGAGGATGCAAAAGCACAGGCACTTTTCTCTGAAAAAAAATTACCTATATACTTTAATATAACATGTGTACATGTCATGCTGCCCATCAAGGGCCCTTGATTGGAATAATAAATATTCTTATTCTATAACACAAGGTACCTAACTTGTATATTTGAGAAATGTCACCCAGTCGCGAACTTCCATTATATTTCGATTCTGTGGTTATCTATCTCACTGAAACTTGTTATGTCGTAAATGTACATAAAGTTATTTACAAAATGGTGAAAAACACGCCTATTTATATTGTCGGAATCAATCGCAACAGGCCTTCCAAGTATGTCAACCATAATTATTTCATCTTCTCACATCCGAATGGAAATGTTAATCTGGTATTGAATGATTTATACACCATTTTGTAGATAATTTTATATAGATTTACAACATAACAAGTTCGTGACTGGGTGACATTTCTCAAAAATACAAGTTAGGTACCTTGTGTAATATTAAAGTATATAGGTACAAATTTTTTTCAGATACAAGTGCCTGTGTGCAAAAGCCCTTTCAAACACGTTTGTTCTTGCTTTTGGTATATTGAGAATTTGGTTGTATTTGATCTTAGTTGCATTGCATTTTTATTTTTACAGAGGAGATTTTGTTTGACACATCTTCTGGAACAGATCCATATAAACATCTATGTCATATATTGGTTTGACTGAATGATCAGTAAACTAAGCCAAGATAACTTCTCAAACATTATATTTGAAGGGGTATTATAAGGGAGTACATGAATATGTCTTGCTGCCCCTTTTAGAAGTTTATCTATTCTACCGGTATTTAGATCACTGGTATTTTTCAAAACTGTATCCAAATTGTACAACAATAATCCAAATAGACAGAATATATCCATTGTAGTACAATTTCAATGTTTCCAAAGTGATTTATTCTAAAGATTTAGCCTTGTACTAATTTTTTAGCATAAGCCGTCAAATTGATCTGTCCACCCCCAATTGGCATCAATAGTAACCATAAGAAGCTTTTCCTTCTTTACATCCCTAATGTGAAATTTCCAATGGTCAAATTAAGAACTTGTTCTGTGTTTGCTAATTTCTTTCTAGAACCAGTTACCACAGATGAAGACTAATTTTTCTTACACCATTCTTCAATTTTATATAAATTACAATGTTATCCTGTATGGTATTGATACTGCTATCCCTGCAATGAATGGTAGTATCATCTACATACTACATACAAATTTGCATGTGATGAAGTTGTATAACGAGGCGAGTCATTAATGAACAATAAAAATAAAAGAGGGCCTATAATGTAGCCTTTAATTTCAAGTGCTATTGACTTTATTGTTCATTTTTATACGCCCGTTTGCGGGACGTATTATGGTATACCGTTGTCTGTCCGTCGTCAACATGTCTGACATTAACTCAAAAATGCTTTAACCAATTTGCATAAAACTTTGGTGAATTGTTTATATCTATTGACGTGAGCTCTCTTTCGTTTTTTATAGAATTTAGATTTATGTTTCCGAGTTATGGGGTTTTATTCATTAAAAAAAGGGGGATTTTCCAGTTTTCGGACAACAAGTCAAGAATGCTTTCACCAAATTGCAAGAAATTGTGGTGAATTGTTTATATCTATTGACATGAGCTCCCTTTTGATTTTTATAAATATTAGATTTTACAATTCCGAGTTACAGGGTTTTATTCATAAAAAAAGGGGGGATTTTCCAGTTTTCTGACAAAAACTCAAAAATGCTTTCAGCAATTCTTATGAAACTTTGGTGAATTGTTTGTATGTATTGTTGTAAGCTCCCTTAAGAATTTTATAAATTTTACATTTTACATTTCTGAGTTATGGGGTTTTATTCATTAAAAAAAGGGGTGATTTTCGAGTGTTTCGGACAATAACTCAAAAATGCTGTCACCAATTCTCATGAAACTTTGGTGAATTGTTTATATCTATTGATGTAAGCTCCCTTTTTATTTTCATAAATTTCTAATATGACATTGAGAAGAAATTGAACTTTATTTGTTTATAGTCTGACAACAGATTTACTAAGTATTGCGCAACAGCACAGTGTTTTGCACAACAGCGAGAAATCTTTAATTGAATATAAATTCAATTCATATAACCAATTTCAAGTTCTTTGACTATATTTATTCAGAAACCTATAATATGTCAAATATTTAATTACAATCCAAATTCAGACCTGAATCAAGCTTGAATATTGTGTCCATTTTTGCCCCAACTGTTCAGGGTTGGACCTCTGCGGGCGTATCTAGCTGCGCTCAGCGAAGCAGTTTATTAGTTCACCTGACCCAAAGGGTCAAGTGAGCTTTTCTCATCACTTAGCATTAGTTGTCCGCCGTCTGTTAACTTTTTACAAAAGTATTCTATGAAACTACTGGGCCAATTAGAACCAAACTAGGCCACAATCATCCTTGGAGTATCTTGTTTAAAAATTGGGTCTGACAACCCTACCTTCCATCCAACATGGCTGACATGGCTTAAAATAGAACATAAGGGTAAAATACAAGTTGTGTCTATTATCTTGAAAATCTGACAGAGCCAAAAATAATCAGAGTGTTGAGTCTACCTTCTGTCTAATCACATCAAAACTGTCATACTGTGAATTCAGAAATTATTGCGTGCATTTATTATTGCGATTTTGTCATTTTAGACTAAAATGCGATTTTAATTTTTGCGATATTGAGAAAAATCCTGTTTAATTCATATAAAATATTTCAAAATGCGAGTTTAAATTATTGCGATTATAACCCTGTCGCATTTTTCGCAATAATAAAAACATCGCAATAATTTCTGAATTTACAGTAGCACTTCTTACAGGAATTATTGCCCTTTAATGATGAATTTACCAATTTTTTTTTCCTTTTTGCCTTTTATCTTGAAAATTATAATAGATAGAGAAAAACTTTAAAAAGCAACAATAATCAGCAAGACAGAATCTACAAATAAGTCAAGTGGTCCAAATTGTCAGTCTGCACCTTATTAGAGTTGTTGCCCTTGTACTTTTGTCGCAGAAAGCTCAACAACGGGATAGTGATCTGTCGGCATCGGCTACGGCGGCGGAGGCGTTAGCTAACTTCTTAAAAGCTTTATTTTTTAGAAGCTAGAAGACCTGGATGCTTCATACTTTGTATATAGATGCCTTATGTTACGAAATTTTCCTCTGTCATATGTCCATTCAATGTCCTTGACCTCATTTTCATGGTTCAGTGACTACTTGAAAAAAAGTCAACATTTTTTGTAATGTTAATTTCTTTCTTATTATGAGTAATAGGATAACTATATTTAGTATGTGCGTACCTTGCAAGGTCCTCATGCCTGTCAGACAATTTTCATTTGACCTCGACCTCATTTCATGGATCAGTGAACAAGGTTAAGTTTTCATGGTCAATCCATATACTAGTATCAGATACTATAAGCAGTAGGTCTACTATATTTGGTATATGGAATGATTGTAAGGTGTACATGTCCATCTGGTAGGTGTCATCTGACCTTGACCTCATTTTCATGGTTCAGTGGTCAAAGTTAAGTTTTGAGTTTTGGTCTTTTTTTCTAATACTATATGCAATAGGTCAACTATATTTGGTCTATGGAAATATTTTATGATGTACATGTCAGTCTCGCAGGTTTTATTTATCCTTGACCTCATTTTCACAGTTCATTTCTCAGTGTTAAGTTTTTGTGTTTTGGTCTGTTTTTCTTCAACTATAAGCAATAGATCAACTATATTTGTTGTATGGAAGGATTGTAAGGTGTATGTGTCTGTCTGGCAGGTATCATCTGACCTTGACCTCATTTTCATGGTTCATTGGTCAATGTTAAGTTTTCATGGTTAAGTTTGTTTCTTAGATACTATAAGCAATAGGTCAACTATATTTAATGCATAAATTGATTGTAAGGTGTACATGTCTGTCTGGCATGGTTCATCTAACCTTGACCTCATTTTCATGGTTCATTGGTCAATGTTAAGTTTTCTTGGTTAAGACTGTTTCTTAGAAACTATAAGCAATAGGTCAACTATGTTTGGTTTATTGAATCATTGTAAGGTGTACATGTATTTCTCGTTTGGTTTATCTGACCTTGATATCATTTTCTTGGATCATGTTAAGTTTATGTGTTACTTGTAGTAAAGCTTTATATTTAGGACTATCAACATAAAATCAATGCTTAGTAAAGAAGGCGAAACATTTCAGCGTTTGCACTCTTGTTGTCGATTATCTTGAAAACTATAATAGACACATAGAAACTTTAAAAAGCAAATATGACCAGCAGGACAAGATCTACAAATATGTGAAAATTACTGAAAATGTTAGTTAACTCTTTATGGACTAATTGCCCTTTAATGATGATTTTTACCAAAAAGTGGCCATTGTTAGTGTAAACTATATTTTATTGTGAAAATAGTAACATAAACATTACAAATATGACAGTTTTATTAGGACTGGAAAACAAATGAATAATAACTTTTACAAATTCCTCTCCTAAGTGGCCATTGTTGAAGATGCAGGTGAGCAACACAGGTTCTTTGGAGCCTCTAGTTCAAATATGATGGAACTTTCTGTGATGAATATGATTTAGATATCGATATTGCATATTTTTTTCTTTTGCTCAATAGATGTTTTGTGATAGCTATTTTCAGC